CGGTAACACTAAGGCGAGGATTTGACAACATTGAGAAACATATGCGTTGTCTTCAAGCCTTAGGTGAAGACGTTACTTCTAACTACTTTGTTTCTCAAATTTTCAGTAAGCTGCCCTATGAAATTGTTTTGAAAGTTGAAGAAATGAATATTTCTGGGGAATTGGATGTTAAAACTTTGTGCAAATTTGTAAATAACTTAATTTCGATTCGGGAGAAAGCAGAGCAACTGACGACCTCAACACCTAGCACTTCATCTTACTCTAATAGTTTTGTTACTGTTCCCAATCCACAGGCGGACACTAAGAGGTTGACAACTACCCACTCACTCGTGGGAAACGATAAATTAAATTGTATTTTTTGTGAAGGAACACATTGGAATGACCAATGTACAAAATATCAATCTGCTGAGGCACGTAAGAAAGCAATTCAAGGTAGGTGCTACGTATGTTTAAGTAAGGGACACACTGTGAAATTTTGTAAATCACATAAAAGGTGTGTTTACTGTAAACAGCAGAATAATCACAATAGAAGCTTATGTACCAAACAGTTTCCTACAGACCAAATTTCTAGAAACACCATCAAAGTAGACACCCGATCAACTAATCATGCCAAAGCTTTGCCTGCAAGTAACTTCAACCCGAGCAAGGTACCTATAAATACCGAAGAGTCTGCTTTAATTTCTATGTCGGAGAGTGTTATTCTTCAAACTGCAACTATTACTTTGCGTAATGCTGATACTAAACAAGAAACGCGTTGTGGTGTTCTTTTTGATAGTGGTAGTCAGAGGTCTTATGTGTCCAAAGGTTTGGCTTCTAAACTGAGTTTGAATAGTAAATATTGTCAATCATTGTCTTTATTTACGTTCGGCAACCGTGAATCTAAAACTGTTGAGACTCAAGTAACAGATGTTCGATTACTGCTGAGCGATGACACATGTATGGATATTATAGTAAACATTGTTCCACATATCACTGGGAAGGTAGTTTCTAGTACCAATATCAACTTAAATACAATTGCTTCCTCCTATCCCAAATTAAAGTTAGCAGACGGCCAGTTTACTTCACAAAATATTGATCTATTAATAGGGAACGATTATTATTTTGATATCATTCAGGGTCAGAAGATAGAAATTTCACCAGGCTTATTCTTAGTGAATAGCAAATTTGGTTGGATCGTAACTGGTAGGCATAACGATAACAATGATCATTTCCCTCTGATGTACGAGTCATCTTTTCTTACTCTAGTAAAACCCAACAACTTATTTCCTAGGTCACCACAAACTTTAAAGCCAGATATCAATATTTGTGAAGGTGACGACATCAAAAACTTGTGGCAATTAGAGACTATTGGTATTAAGGATGACCCACACGTGAAAGATGATGACATCGCATTGATTAAATTTAATGAGACTGTTAAATTTGAGAATGGTCGTTATTCAGTTTCCTGGCCTTGGAAAGATTATCCTCCAAATTTACCCACAAACTACAATCTTTCTCTCGGTCGTTTGAAATCTTTAACAGATAGACTTTCAGACAAACATAATCTTCTATGTGAATACGACTCGGTAATTCAAACCCAATTGAAAGACGGTATAATCGAACGAGTGAGTTTTTCAGACAGAAACGATGGAGTCCTTCACTATATACCTCATCACCCTATTATCACTGAGTCGAAAACCTCAACTAAACTTAGGATAGTGTATGACGCGTCAGCCAAAACCAGAAAAGGCAACAATAGTCTTAATGATTGTCTTTACCGTGGACCTGTAATTTTGGAAAACCTATGTAGTTTACTTTTACGTTTTAGAATGAATGCTATTGGAATTATTGCTGATATTGAGAAAGCATTCCTTCAAATAAATCTTCAAACTCCAGATAGAGATGTAACTAGATTTCTGTGGCTCAAAGATCCTTTGTCAGCACCTACTAAGGATAATATTGAGGAGTATCGATTTTGTAGGGTTCCGTTTGGAATCATATCCAGTCCATTTTTAATGAAAGGTTGAAGTCTTCATTTTATGTTGATAATGTGGTTACCGGATGTGACACAGATCAAGAGGCCACAACACTATTTACAACTGCTTCTAGTTTGTTCTCTGATATTAACATGAACCTTAGATGTTGGTCTTCAACCTCAAAGACACTAATGACACAAATACCAATGGAAAAAACTACAACTGAGAATCCTACTGATGTTAATGTTCTTGGATTAAGATGGAACACCAATCTTGACAATCTTCACATAAAACCTGTTAACAATGACAGAAACAAACCTATTTCAAAAAGACAAGTTTTAAGTACTATATCATCCGTTTTTGATCCCTTAGGGTTATTATCCCCTGTAACACTGAAGGCTAAAATCTTTCTCAAACAGTTGTGGGAAGACAATTTGGATTGGGACGAATTACTAGATGAGCATAAATGTAGGGAATGGAATATATGTGATGATATTATTAAAGTAACTGAAGTTTCTATTCCTCGATTCGCAGGATTACGAGCAGATCATGTAGAGCTCCATTGTTTTACGGATGCATCAAAGGATGTATATTCGTGTGCTGTGTATATCAAATTAATTAGTAAGGAGACTGTCAAAGTGACTCTCATGTTTTGTAAAAGCCATTTAACTCCAAAGTCAAAGCCGAAAATTACCCTTCCAAGACTCGAACTTTTAGGAGTGTTGATTGGAACAAGAGCATTACGTTTTGTGGAAGAATCCTTAAAATTTCCTGTTGTAAATAAGATACTGTGGACTGATTCACAATGTGTGTTACGTTGGATTAGCACAACAAAGCTGCTTCCTAAGTTTGTGGAGAGAAGAGTAATGGAGATCAAAACCAACACCGAGACGCAATTTAGATACGTTCCTACTGACGAAAATCCAGCTGATATGGCGACTCGAGGTAAAACGGTGGATAATCTGAAACACTGCAATGAATGGTGGTCAGGTCCACAATGGCTGTCTTGTAGTCAAGACTTGTGGCCGGATTGGTCTTCTGATTTTAACGAGCCATTAACTGAAGACGATATGGTTGAAACTATTGAAGAAAACGTCGTCACCTTGACTACAAAGACCGAAGACGTGAGTGAAACTAGTCCTTTTGGCATAGATATACAAAGGTTTTCATTACTTTCGAAACTGATTTTGACAACAGTTTTTTGTAAAAGGTTTATAAGTGGATGCAGACGGAATAAACGACCAAATCATGTTATTCCTACATCTGAAGAACTCAAAGATGCTCGTTTATCGTGGATCAAACATGTTCAAAACACTTGTTTTAGTGAAACACTAAGTAATATAAGAGATGGTAGGTATGATAGATTGCGGAATCAACTTGGCCTATTCGTTGATATGAATGGACTTATCAGATGTAAGGGTAGGATCTCAAATGCAGACCTTGAAGAATATTGCAAGTTCCCTATACTTCTACCAAAGAACGATTTATTTACTCAACTGCTCATAGAAGAGTGTCACTGTAAGATTTTTCACATGGGAGTGCAACAAACTCTCTCGGAACTTCGGAAATCCTTCTGGATAATCCATGGCAGAGCTGAAGTCAACAGAGTTTTGCGAAAATGTTTGAAATGTTTAAAATACGAAGGTGGACCATACAAGCTGCCCCAAATACCCTCGCTTCCAACAGAACGGGTGACTGAAAGTATACCTTTCCAATTTACAGGACTTGACTACTTTGGCCCTCTCTACATTAAATCCTTTCAAGATTCTAGAGTTGAAGTTTCAAAAGTTTACGGTTGCATATTCACCTGTTTAGTCACGAGAGCTGTTCATTTAGAGATCACCAATAACTTGTCGTCAGAAGAATTCTTACTATCTCTCAGGAGGTTTGTGGGAAGAAGAGGTACTCCGAAGAAGATTTACTTGGACAACGCTACTCAGTTTAAGAAGGCTTCCTCGTTCTTGAATGATATGTTTGTTGAACATCTCGATACACCAGAATTACTGTCTTATGTAAGTGAAAACCACATCGAATTTACTTACATCCCAGAGTTTGCACCTTGGATGGGAGGAATGTACGAGAGGTTGATATCTTTGATAAAGAGATGTTTAAGAAAGAGTATTGGTTCAGTTACTCTGACTAAATCACAACTCGACACTGTGATGATTGAAATAGAAGCTGTTGTCAACTCAAGACCACTAGTTTATGTATCTTCCTCAGATCAAAGTTTGACTGACTTTATTATAACTCCTGGCCACTTCCTTAACTTCCATGGAAAAAATGGTTTTGTAAATAGTTTGAATGAATGTCAAGAAAACGACATGGAGTTTATTTCTAAAGTGACTGAATCGGACTTATTAAAGATGTGGAAAAAGGGAACCAACAACTTAAATAGCTTTTGGAAGATTTGGAAGAAAGACTATCTGTTGAGTTTAAGGGAGAGAACTCAACATAATATCAAACAAGGAAGAATTCTGTCAACCCAACATCCACAAGTTGGTGATGTAGTTCATGTTCACGACACATTACCCAGAGGGACATGGCGACTTGGGAAAATAGAAGTCCTTAACGTCAGTGCTGATGGAAACGTAAGAAGTGCCAAATTAAAGTTAGGATCTGGGAAATACATCACCAGACCTATTAACTTGTTGTATCCCATTGAAGTCTCTGACGTGAATTCCGGAAAGAAAAAAGGGGCCCAGAACAACTAACTAATGATGTGGGAGTGTGCTGAGACAGCTGGTTTTTAATTTTGGTTTCCATGGAAATAATTGATTGTAAATAAACTAATACTAAAGAAAAGAAAGAAAATTGATACAATTTTAACTCTTTATTTATTCTACATTTATTAACTTAAAACTTAATTTAAAGCAGGAAAACCAAACATAACTAAACTAATCCACGGATTCACTATAGCACCTCTGTTCCCTAAAAGTTTATTTAAAAATCTTGAGTAATAGTTGTCAACTTGAATTTATTGTACAACCTAAAAAAATTAAATCTGGACTATTTATATCCTTTAATATTACATGCATGTTTACTTACTCTCTTCATCAATGATGAGTCTCATTGAAACGCCGCAACCGTTGGGCAATGGAGAAAGAGTTGTGGAATGAGTCAGTATAGAACGCATCAAGTGTCTAACTGACTGGGAAATGTCTTCGGGCAACCCCTGGCTTTGTTCAAGCAGTCTGTAATCAAAACTTTAATTTAAAAAATAGTAAGTTCTTAATGATTTATATTAAAATCCAGAATGATTTGGATTATTTTAGTGGCCTCAAAGTCCTGTCAATACATAACTTAATTATCAGACACTTAAATTCTGTTTAGTTGAAATTTTTTGTTTCTTAAAAATTGCTTGAAATTGCATTGATTTAATTTAATGTAGCTTACATTCATATGTGGCTCATCAATCTGGCTTTTACTCTAGATAAGTGGTAGATACCTTAACTGTTTGCTGTGCCTTTCATTTGAACTTAACAACTTAATTACTAAGTACGGTATATAAAAACCTACGTCGCAAAATTTGTTTTAGAGGACAGTTGCAGTACGGATCTCACCTTTTAAAATTGTTCATCAACATTGTTCAAACTAATAGTAGATCTAGATGAATTGGTTTACTCAACATATCGTAGATCCCGATAGTCCAAATTGGTTGGAACCGGGGATCCACTTCAAATTAGGCCTACCGAATATTTCGGATTAAAGGATTTTTTTTTTGTTTTTTACATTCTCCCACTATACTAACTCCCAATAATACTCCAATATTACTTTAGGCCAGACTTAGGGGTTGCGGCATTATCACATAGATAAAATCCATTTGTGATTTGGCAGGATTTGAACCCTTAGGCAAAAATTAAAAATGTATACTAAGAAAATGTTTACTAAAATACTCTATACAATAAGTCTATCTTCCCCGACCTCAACTGAATACTTCGACGAGGTACAACTAACTGTCGTTACACGACAGTGCTAGCAGTTTCGGCTTTTCCCAATAGGTGACAACACGTACTGGGTCATCACTTTTTGTGTCTACAAAAAACTGCATTAATCTCATTACCCAACGGTACTAGTTGTTTCTACTTTTCTCGATAAGTGACAGCACGTACTGGGTAATGAAAAATTAACTAAAAAAGTAAATTTTTTTTAAAGAAAAAAAATTATTCGGCGGTTTTGGTCAAAGCGGACTTTTGGATTGCCGAAGTTCGGATTATAAGGACTCCACTGTATAACTTACACTTCTTTTCCACCGATTTCACCCATAACATCACAATTTATAGCTTCATGATCATATGAGAAATTAAAAGTATAAACTTCTAGAACGACATTCTTCTTTGCAATGATAAGCATCAGTTTCTTCAGCTGAAACATATAAAACCATCAAATAAAATAAATCCAAACAATTGCCTATTTTTTTATGGTTATTTCAGTTTTCAAGTTTAAAATTAATTTAGGCTAATGTTTGAGTTCTAGGCTAACTTAGGCCTGGCCTAGTGATTTAAATGTCTTTTATTACAGTACCTACACATAAAATCTGTTCGGAACAGACTATTTTGTTGACCCGTTACTAGTTACTAGGAAAAATTTAACTGTTAAAAAGCAATAAATCAAAACCTTACTTGCGCCCTCAAAGCCATTTATATCTACATTGTTCCTATTTGAATTAGCTCAAGTTAGGCATAGTGTTGTTTTTTCCATGTATCAAAATTGATCCAATAAAACTTAATCCTGATTTATATTAAATAAATATTTTAATTTTAAAATTGTTTCTATAAAACGAGACTAAGTTATTGGCTTATTTTAAAAAGTAGTTTTAAAAAAATATTACTCACTTAACTTAATACAGTAGACTCTCGCTCATCCGGATCTGCCTTGTCCAGACTGCCGCTAGTCCGGATTGGCAATCGAGATTTTTTTTAGCGGCACAGTACAGTAGCAGTCGGATTATCCGAGCTAAACGGGACTGAGACTACCTTGGATGATAAAAAACTCGTATATCACAGTGGTAAAAATTATAGGTTATAATTAAGATAAAAAAAGTATTTAAACTGGAGAATACAGTACCTAGTTTATTATTACAGTACAGTAATAACTTAAGTGAAATATGATTAAATAAAAATATATTTCTCTACCAACTCCTACCAACAATCGATTTATTACCCTAGAGCTGCAATTTGCATGGCTATATACTGTAGGTACTGTATTTGTTAGACTCTCGATAGTCCGGATTTTTCGTAATCCGGAACGGTTGTCCGCCACATTAGTCCGGATGAGCGAGAGCCTACTGTAACTCATTTATTCAACCAAAATAACAAATACAAAATTTGCATTAGTCATGTCAATATCTTTACAACTAAAATTAAAAATAAACAATGGTGCCTTAAAAACTTACGTGATGAGAGTGGACGAGATCAAACCCACTCTTTATCCATCCTATCATAGTGGTCGTCCCAGGAATTTCGTGTGATGCCTTTAATACGTGAACCCTCTGGTTTGATATTAATTTCTCTGTGAACACGTCAGATGGGAATATACCACGAAGAAAAGCGATTGAAGAAAGTGACACAACCACCATTTTCTTCATAAATTCAACAGAATTGGTGACTGATATGTTTGGATTCACCAAACTAACATGTGTGGTTACCGGTGCCTGAAAAATTTAAATACTTCAGTAAAATTAATGCTAACTTATTTCCTAGCGCCAGAAAAAATTTATGTTTGCAGTACTTAGCCATAGTCTATTTAAAATAAATTAAAACGTAATGTTATAAAAACTTTAATAGTTTGTAAACAGTGCCCATTATATTTTGTAGGTTTTTCTACCGCATACTGCAGGCATAACGAGGCATTCATGTTTCGTAATAGAACGGTCTAGTCTAAACCCTAGTCTTGTTACACAAGTAAGTTATCTAACATTGACCTTTTGTTAGCAAGCGTTGTATTAATTGATAGTTCAATAACATTGTCAACTGTGTCAAGAATCGATCCTGCTTGGGATTGAATTAGCAGCTTTAGTTGTGAGGCCTATAATTACTTGGCTACTGAGTGATTTTCCTCATGTTTTAATTTATGTTAAATACCAATTTATTACCGGTAACTTCACAGATAGCCCAGTGACTTTAAAATAAATTTTGACACATTCACTGCTAATGAGTAATGACGCACAAGTGTGTCATCAGTATCAGCAAGTATGGTATATAAATAATTATAATATATTATATTCTCATTTACAATTTATAACTTAGGATACAATTTATCCAATTTAAAGATAAATTAGCACTCCACACGATAAATACATACAATAAATTAGAACGGTACATGATTGTTTATTTTTTTTTTTTATTTATTTTTTTTTTTACTTAGCCAAATATAAAAATTTTTAGTTAGCCTATATTATTGAATGTGTTAAGTTTATTATTTTAAGCATGAGTTGGGATAGAGTTCTTTAACACACTTGGGCCTATATTGTGATAGGAAGGCTACCTACAATGTAGGATGCTCATAAGACTGTGGATATCTCAAACAACTGGTTGTCTTTTTTATGGTGCACCATTTTAGATACTAAGTTAAGTTAAGTTACCACAATTTTAAACCACACACTGCCTGATCAATACAGTAGCCTACCTTCACCCTCTCATTGCTGGATCCTAGTCTATAGGTCTCCTATGAAATAAGCTTAACTTACGCCTGACCCTTCGACAGATATTATGGTTGGTTCATCATTACGCCTAGACCTACATGTTAAGTAGGATACGTTACATGTTTAGAAACATACTTTTGTTGCCTCAAAGGAGTAAGCAAGACCCACATTTTGTTTACAGAGGTAAGGCCTAAGCGAATTCCCCTGTGTAGGGAAGTAAGTTATGTTAGCTACCTTACTGAAACTGGCACCTGGTGGGATCGATTAACATTTTCATTTTCATGTCCCCAGCTGACCAAAAACTCTATGTTCATTAAAATTGTTTATATATACCAGTACCATAAGTTAAGATATAAATATAGGTAGAGTAGCCTAAGTTTAACTTATAAGTTATACAAATCTGTGTCTGTCCATGAGACGTGAATGCAATAAGTTAATTCCAGTAGGTACCGCAGTTAATTTTGGTCTGGTAAGTTATTGATAAAATTTGGCTTGAAGGTATAACGAAGATAAGAAAGTTTAAACTTAACTTAAATGGTTTGCGAGCCATCAAGATTGGGTTGTGGCATTTGGGTGTTATGGGGTTTTGGAATCGTTAAAAAAATGGATTAAAACAGTTTTACCCTTCATTAGGACCTATTAAGTTAAGGTAGGTTACCTAGTATATTTAGCTAGACCTGGAATAGCATAGGCTGGTAGCCTATGTTAGCCTAACATTAGTCTAATCTTACAAGATCAGGATTAGGCTATAAAAGCTAATTTACCACGATCACCGATATCTAGGCCTATAGCCTAAAACTTAGGTAAAGTCATCGTATCGTTGTGGTAATGGTGTTCCGGGCCCCCACAACCCGGTGACGTCACTGCCGGACAACTAATCCACATTCAGTTACCATGCGCGTACATCCTCTAGACGATTTTCTAATTACGGTACCTATGCCTGTGTCTCAAACTTTGTCCAGGTAACTTACACTTCCGTAACTTATCTTGTTTTCAATAACAACCGAATGAAAAATTATTTGACATAGGGTAGGCCCAAGTTAAGATAACTTATGATATATCGAATGAAATAATCGATAGCCTACTTTCATTCGGTTGTTTTTGACAACAGATACGGAAGTCTAAGTACCCCTTTGTCCAAGGACTAAAATAACTTAGCCTAAGTTACATTAGAACTTGTTAAATTGACTTAAGTAATTAAAATCTCCACAGAATTTGACAAGAAGTAGGCTAACTTACGTATATTTACTGAGCCTTAAAAATCTAGGCCTAGGCCTAAGTTAAGCCTATTTGTACAAATAACTTAGCCTACTAGATAGGCCTAGGCCTAGATAACTTAGATAGATAGACCGTAAGGGGGTAGGCCTAACTTATATTTTGGATCACAAGAACTAACTTAGGCCTGTTAACCAGATTGGTCTAGTAGTAAGTTAAATAACAGCATAAATTTAGTACTAGTTTAAATACACACCTTTTCTTTTACTAATAATTTCTGGGAAGTCATCGCTCTCTTTTTGCTGAACTAGGCCTCGGCCTAAGTTATACTTAGATATTTTGTCACGACTGTCGAAATCAAACCAAGCTTAGGGGGGCTAGCCAAATTGTGGGATAACACAATTAGGAGAAATAATTCGTAGTTGTCAATAAGTGTTCAAGGCTAAATATAAGTACAACAACGATCACTATCACTACCAAGCGTCAAGCGATGACACCACGACCAAACCACACCATTGAGTTACCACAAAGCTTAATACCACACAATACTATCACAATCTGAACCTATTCAAACGAATAACGAATCTAACTAAACTTACTAAACACGAGAACGCGACTGACTAGTGACTAAACTAAAGATGATAAGTCTCAAATCGTCAAATCGACCAAATCTGAAACGATACGGATACAAAAAATGGCCACTTTCTTTAGTTTCTTCTCTTTCCAGTTTCCACCAATTGAAATCGTTATAATCGTTTTTTTTAGCTGGAGGTGGAAACGGAAGCAAAACCTTGCTTTGAAATGGATTTCATAGTCTTGGAAAATCACAGTAAACAAAATATTTGTTTATTATATAAACACCAGGTTAATATAATTAATTTTAGTCAGGAAAACTAAACTTAAACATTTTGAATTCATCCAACTAGAATAATGCTTTAGTAATTACCAATTATTTCAAATGTTTTTTTTTAAGTATTTGCTATTGATTGGCTTGCCTAAAATTCAATCTAAATAGTTTTTGTTTTTTTATGTTTATAATGTGTTCTAATGTTTTTCGAAAATTCAGATCGCAGTAAATTAACTAGTAAAACTGTTGACTTTGAGGATCACGGAAAAAACATAACCTATTTTAACAATAGTGCACAAATCTTGGATATCTTCTACGGTCTTGTAGACATTATGTTCGCCTCACGCAATTACGGAAACGTCATAATATTTTTTACGCAATTAAGACAAAACATGAATATCTTCGGACTGAAGACATCTTCGTCGTCTCCTGAGGTCACGGAAATGGCGGCATCTTTTTCCGCGATTGGCAAAATCTTGAATATCTTCTTCGGTCTACTAGTAGAAATCATTATCATCGTCTCCCGCGGTCACAGAAATGGCGATATATATTTTCCCGCGATTATGGCAAAATATTGAATTTCTTCTTCGGTCTAGTAGACATCATCATTGATGATGTGATCATCGTCTCGGTCTCTCGCGATCACGGAAACAACGTTACCACGCGGTGAGCGGTGCCAGTGACCTCGACGCCCCTGCACAAAAAGACCCCGTATAAAAGACCATAAATACATTAACGTTGATTCTATTGTTTCCAAAATAACAGTAAATTTTAAAATAAGAAAACTGAGGAAAAATAAGAAAAATATGGAATCAATATGTTTTATGGTCTTTTTATAATGTTGATGCAACTATAAGACTTATTTACTCTTAGAATTTTCTCCCTAAACTTGCTAGTTCAGGAGCTACATGGTGCAGAATGTACACCACAAGTAATTTTTCGTAACTCCTGAACTAGTAGCATTAGAGAAAAAATGTCAAAAATAAAAACGTTTTTAAAATGCATTTACTTTCTAAAAAGTCATCAAATGTAGGGTCTTCCATGTAAGGAAAATCAAAGTTGCCGGCCTTATTATAAAAATGGCGGCTAAAATTATTTGTTCAACTGGACCAAAATTTAAATTCCAATAAAATATTCAAGGCAGTTACGATTTAACATTTTTTTATCTCTTGCAACATTCGAATAAAACAGCTGGCACACTTATATCAATCATGCATATGTAACACATATTTATGGTTTTAACATACCATATGGGTAAAAATTATGAGTTAAAAGTCTGGATACTGAAGGTCCCTTACGATTGACCGACGCGCTTACTGCGGCTAAATAAGAACTAAATTCGAAAATTCTTCTTGTAGATTCCTTTCTCTACTTTCATACTCCACGACATTAAAAAACCACGTCAGACGACCTGGGACAACAATCCACCGTTAGGTCAACACGCCAATGTTAGCCCTTTCTCGAGACACGTGCTCCATTGAACTAGCTATGAGTTTCTCTAACATCATCACTTTTTTCTAAGCATTATTGATTTTAGCGCCAACACTTTCCCCAACAATCTAAGTTTGCTACAGATGTCACATATGCGATCTTTTAAAACTCCTTGCACATTTATACGAAGATGTAATTTATTTATTTAGCACTGAACGAATTGACGTATGAACAATATTTAGAAAGTGCAAGTATTTAAGGTCAGGTCTTCGTTTATCAATCAATTATAGCAATTATTTAGGATGGGGAAGCCACTATATGTGCGTATTTCCCGGGGCCGATTTACTTGTTCGTTTTGAGGTCCCCAGAGAGCAAAAACACCATCCGTTCAAATTCATATATATGTGTGTCCGTTAGCGCGATAACTCGAGCAATAATCCGATTTTGATGAAATTTGGTATAAACGAGTAAACTTACATGTTCGAACGAATTTGCGAAGCAGCATGATTGGACTATGGGAACAGGGGTTTATTGGGGATTTTATGGGGGTAAAAATGGGATTTTCTTTTTTTTACCCTGAAAACAGAAAATTTCGTAATTTCATTCCAAACCATTTTGTAGAGCTCAAAAAACAAATAATTTAGTATATTGAAGCATTGTTGTTTGCCTAACGGTTACGGAAAACCCCCCAAAAAGTGTAAATAATTTAAAATTACCATGATTCTTATGAAAAATCAATAAAATGTTGTAGCTTGCTTGTCTATGGACATATTTTATTGACGTTTTGAAATTTTCTTTACTTCATACTAAGATATCAATATTTAAATAAAACCCCTCTATTTTATTCCCTGTAGCAGAAAACCTAAGTACTCAATCAAATTAATAATATTTAAATAGGGAATAAATCTGACAATTTTAAGGGAATAATTTAGTCGAATTCCAGCTAGGTAGATGGAAATTCGCTTAGTCTGCAGGTTTGCTGCGGCGAGGGTATTTTAATACAGTACTAGCTACGATATATTGACGTTAATGAAATGAAATTGTGACAGTTTTATATTTGAGGAGCATTTGAACTTTATTACGGGCTGTAAAAAATACCAAAAACACATTTTGTCCAATAAATAAACTCTCACCATTAATCAAATCAATAATCACGGGTGGCTGAGTGGTTAGTGCTCGTCTATAGCAGACAAAAGGATGCCGGATCGATCCTGAGAAATCAGTAGGGTTTTGATGGTTCGAAATTGGGGAACTGGACCCAGCCGTTCCTGATCATGGAACGATAATAAAACGATAATGACTAATGAAACCACTGATATTAGTTAGTATAAATGCACACGATCATAACACTCCATTCTACACTCATCCTTCACTCATATTTCGGTTAAAATGCGCACATACGCATCGCCGTCTCAATGATTGATAATTATAAATTGATAATTGAAAATAAAAATATGATGTTAAGAAAACTGTTTAGAGAGTTGTAAAGAAATATACCAAATTTTCTGTAATGGGAAAACCTTTCGAAGACAATGCCGAGAAATCCCATGACTGCAGTTTCTGTTTCCGGCGATTTATAAAAGGATAAACAAAAAATGACCGTTCAACGGGAAGTGGGACTCGCTTTCTCGAGGAAAACCGCCGGCTCACCAGTCAGTAGCGAGTAAAATTTAGTCCAAATATACGTAGTTCCACAGCCAATGAGTCCGGCTCGGGGAGCGTGAGGGGTCAGTTTCGTTTTCGTCTGCGCGTGCGTGCTTCATGTGCGACGCGGCGCATGCGCATTAGGGCGTCATTGTTGTGCCGCGCACGCCTGGTTAAAGTGGATCAAGAAACTGGATCGTGATTGTTTGAGCTGCGTTCCAATTATTGTCATACCGGCATTCTTTCATATCTGAGAATTGAATTGTTACAAGATTATCATATTTACCTTAATGTGCGTGCACAGCGTTCCCCACCTTTGAAAATACTTACAGCTAAAACTTGAGTACCCATAAAAGTCTTGAGGACTAAATTATGTAAACAATCAAACTAGAAAGACTCCTACCATAAATAAAACATACACCTCCTAGGGGAGTATGTATTATATCTATGCTTTTACCCTACTTGTCGGCATTTCTTTCTGAAAATGTAACCATCCACTCATTAGTCCAGTTCAGAAAATATATTGAAAATAAATCAAAATTTTCAATGTATGTGATGAATTCTTCAAGAGTACGGTACACAGAAATTTTCCAATAGTATCGCAATCCACAATCTTGTCAAAATGTAAGAATTGTATTTATGAATAAAAGCATCTCTAGATGTTATCTTTGACGGTGAAAATGATGCAACATGGATCCAAACGGAAAATGTTGGCGTAAAATAAAACCAGGGCTATTACGGCTGTTTATAAATTGATTTTCACAATTTGTACACTTAAAATCCCCTTAAAATAGGTAGCCTACCCTTAAAATGTGTCCTAATAAAAAAATATTTTCCATAATCACAGCTTTATTTGCTTATACATTTTAGACTTTAACGTTGAACAGCAATTTCGACAAGGGCTTGTTACAAGCTAACCTAATCGTCAACTGTATGTAACATTGGTTAAATAAATCCTGACCGTATTCAGACCGCAATATTTTAACCTCAGACGGAAGATGAGTTAAAAACCGGATATTTACGTAACATAACGGACCGCTAGAAAGCCGCAGTGACCGACTCGACGGGTGGGAGAAACTGGAACAATGTGTGGAAGTGGAAGTAACGACTGGTTGTGGTTAGGACGACCTTGACAGTAGCAGCCCGGCAGGCTCGACCGGTCACCGTTAGTCCGAGCGAGTGACGCGGCTCATAGGCTCGTGGCGTCTAATCATGCATAGCGGGTTGTCGTCATGATCCTGCTGGTGATCGCTGTGTGTTTGAGGCTCGCCGCGGCCGAACCTACCCTCGACAAGGGGTGCTCAGGCCTGACCACGTGCATGGACTACGCGCTGAACGTGATTCACACGAGCGACAGGTACAATCTGTTTGAGAGTTTGTGGTTTGACGCGATCAACGGAACTAACCACAGCTACGTGATCACTACCAGTGACCCAAGGAACTTCAGTCAGCTGGTGAAGAAGGCCACGAACCTGTTTGACACACACTACCTGGTGTGGAGGATAGCGCCGGGGCTGAATGTCAAAGTGTTCAAGAAGGACGAGGACAGGTTTGGCATGTCGGTGCTGAAGGATGTGTTCCCCGTCAAGAGTGGTAAGTTTATCGTGATTGTTATTGTGTTTTCAAAATCTAGGATAGTTAACAATACAATCTTTTGAATTGTTGTTAACACATTAATATTTATTACTATCATTGATTTGATAGAGACAACATACATTAGGTTTTTTCTTACCTGAAATATGAGTGAAAAGTATAGAATGGAATAAAATAAACGTTTTTCTTTAGCTAATAGTCAAAGAATGCTTAGAACCATTAACTTATTAAAAGACCACTAGAATGATAACTATTTTCTCAGGATCGAACGGTGTTTAGTTCTTATACTTCTCACGAATTGTTGTTTATTTTCATTATATATGTCACTTTTTCAATGGAATCTATGGCAAAACCCAAAACCTATTTTAAATTTTGAATTCTGTAGACATTTGTACTGTAGATACAGATTAGTTTTCAATTTCAACACAGAGACCTACTTATAATGTATTTTAATGTTAAAATTTGCAGCTTCTAATGCTCCTGTTTTTGATATTATTTAAAGACTGCAGCCTATTATTTTAAAAGTTATCTATGATCCAGTTTTTTTTCAAAAGGCAAAGTAAACATAATTTCAATAATTATTACTGTATCAATAATTGAGATTGGGACCTAAGTGGTATTTTAACCCTGGAAATATGAGTGAAGTATGCTGTAAATAAATGGGTGAGATTATCTGAAAAAGATCGCACAGGCAATGAAAATAATAGAGCGCAATTTAAATAATAAAATTATGATTGGAAATAAGTTATTGATTTCACCCTTTTCGACTATATATCAAATCTATCACAGATTTTGAAGTCACGAAGTGAGCTGGTTGCTAGTTGAAATTATGGTAGAAAAAGTGTCAATACCTTGAAGATAAGTAAAATAAATGCCATACAAATTACAAAAGCAGAATATATACGCCCAAACATGGTTGTGAGGTGATAAAATGAATGTAAGATGGGAATAAACCATAAACACTTTTTCACAGTATTTGAACTTTTCCTATGATGATTATAACTGTACAGTAAAAGTAGTGTCTTTTCTTTCTCCTGGCCTGGCTGAGTGGCTGACCTTTAGTGAAAAGCTTCATCCATTAAGGTTGGCAGCTATAATTGCTCTGAGATAAATGATTCCTGATTCCTAGATTGTTGTTGTACCCACATACAATAGAGCTCAAGATAGTTTAGAAAGTCTGAAATAAAAGAAAAACATACATAACGGTTCATTTTTCTAGGTAATAAATTACTCTATGGCTCATTAATGGAGAGTTCTCCAATACAGAGAAGGTACTTCTTACCTGAAAAAAATAATTTTTTGTTGTGAAGATTAGAAGACTCTTAGCTTAAAGTGAGCTCTTTTCTGAATCAGTGGTTATTTTTTTATGTCCCCCCTTTATATCCTAGGACAACCTAAAGGGTCACGGCATTATCACATAGATTAGTTAGAATCCATTGGTGATTGTTGGAATTCAAACCCGGGACCTCAGACTCTCATGTCCCGAGCTCTACCACTAGACAGGTTGCTCCCCTGAATCAAGGGGTCATGGCACACCATATTTCAAATGTAGCTCAATACCATTGCTGATTATCAGGATTTGTATACCCATCCTGTAGCACAGTTAGATACTCTGTTTTATTGAATCAATCACATTTAAGCTAAAAAGTGTTAGATTAAATTAGGATCTTTGACTATCAATACAACCCAATAGTCAATGTTAGGACTTATTAATTCCTCATTCTTTAAGCAGAGAGTTAATTGAGTTGAGGTTCAAGAATTGTCCTCTAAGGTAACTCAAACTCCAACCTTCAAGGATCTTTTTTGCCTTCAGAGTGTAAAAAACAACCATGGTAAAAGCATAGCGCCATATTCTCTTACCAGCTTTTACAAAAGAGCATGCCAAATTTAAATTTGTATTTGTTCCTGTGTTTGTACTCTTTCTAAAATAACCTGATGGGTTCTGAAAACCCAATACCACATAGATTATTATAGTGAATGTTTTTTCTAGAACATCGGACATTCGGCATCGGAAAGCGTCGTATCATGATGGCTCTGCTGCCCATCATGTACAAGTTGGGAGTCATTACGACGCTGCTCATAGCCCTTACTGTGATCACTCTCAAGGGACTGACCATCGGCGTCATACTACTAATGCTGTCCTTTGGCGGCATCCTCACCAAACTCAAGGTAATGTTATTGATTTTGTGCCTAGATGGATATTTTCAAATGTCCAACCCATTTATTTTTTACCAAGGACGCTAGGTACGAGCCCGGGATTGTTTTTCACATTACTTCAGCCTAGACCTAGGGGTTGCAGTATTATCAGATAAAATCCATTGGTGACTTGAACCTGTGACCTCAGGGACCAAAGTCCCTCGCCCTAACCACTAGACCAGCTCGCTCCCGCGATGTTCAATCATTACCTAGGAATATTTTAATATAATTTGAGGGTACAGGTATTGGAAAAGTAGGTAATATTTTAGGTGATTTCCTCAATACTGAGAAAAACAAACCGTGAAAAATGGGAGTAAAATGTTTGCTAGCAAAATCATATGTAACTAGTACATAATCCGAGGTATAGCTCCACCTTCAGGTTTAAAGAAAAACAATTGATATACATAGCATATCCGTTCAATACAGTATTACCGGTCAAGTTTTAATGTTTAAAACTGTCAACAAAACATACATTTAGTAACGAGTACCATTTTATTAAATGGTGGGCAAATTACTATTGACAAACTTGAAATGTAACAGAGAATGAAATATGAACGATGTATTGTACATTTTACAGGGAAGCCACGTAGAGCACCCTCAGAAAGACATCCACATCCATGTCCATCCCTACGGAGGTAAGACTGAGCATTACCCCAGCTACCACGCAGAGTACTCTCCATGGAGCCGAGACGGAGAAGCTCCGTTGGACGAGACTAGCCAAGCTCCGGCATCCACAACCTCAGCGACCTGGGCTACTGGGTATCTGCCACCTTTTATGTCGTATAGATAAATAGTCGCTCAATTTACCATCCTTTTAGTCCAAGATAAACTCAAGCTGTATAGGAGTTGCTCAACTGCACCGATAGTTAAGGATTGTAATTTATAATAATTTATCCTATGTTATATAAATACCTTCGTGGTCTAGCTCCAAATTGTTTCCTTGGTGTTAAATGTCTTGACTTTTTCGCGCCATTATTAAACACTCATCTTCAGGAATTACATTTACATGTAACGTACAATGTTGACTTAAAGATGTTTGTGAATATGGGTCATTGATGAAGCAACAGCGTATAATCATGTTTCCTGATGAGGTGCGTTTGAAACAGCAATCAACTATGGTTATTATGTAAACATAGTGTCAAATTTTTTTCAGTATGGGAATCACATGGTAGGGGGCATTTGACTTTCAGTCAGCCCTCAGCTGTAGTTCAATTAAACCATTAAAAACAAAGAGAGATTGCAGAATTTTACATTGGCTACATCTAACATAAATTGATGTAAATATTTCACTAGGCAGCATACTTATGTATTTTAGAATCTATGCTATGATTTCAAAAAGTAAACTACACTGCATTCGGTGAGTGCTTGGTGTCAAGCGCCTCCCCTAGTCTAACAGGACTACGGGTTGTAGCCTTTAGGAAAAGGGAAAATGTGACAGAAGTGTCATTGTAAAAGGCTGGCTCACATGCCCTCAGTGGCTTGGCAGTCTGAACATAAGTTGAGTTAGGGTTTTGATCACGATGACAAAATGGTGGACGAGATTGGGGATTTTAACTAACATTCCATCGTCAAATTTGTTACAAAAGTGTTTGAATGGACTCGAATTTTGATACCAATCCCAAGGCTGGGCCGCGGAGGGTTCACTGTGAACCGGCCTGACCCTAACGTCACTCCAAACACTCACCGAATGTACACTTGAATTCAAGCTTGATGTTAACATAAATTTCTTATGGATACATTACTTAGAAAATCTATTTCTTAGAAGATTATTTATTACTGTATTTCTTTTTACCAGGCCCCATTGCTTTACAGTATTAACAATTTATTAAAAAACTTTACTCCAAGAAATTCTGATACTGAAGAAAAATTGTTATTGCACCAAGATCATTTTGAAATTGCAAACTAAAGAAAAGTAATATAAAATATATAACCAAAAGTAATTTGTTTTTTTACATGATAAACCGACAAACAGTATACTTTTCGCCAAGCAATTCATAAAAGTTTGATTACTGCAAATAGTGACCACAACAGTTCTACTCAATGTTTTGTAATTCAAAACTAAACAAATTTAAATACTGAAATTCTCAATTAAAGAAGGCAAGGTAATCAGCTTTATTTGCTTTTAAGTTGAGTCATTAGTTAATGAGCATGTTTGAGTAATAATTATGTATTAAGCTTTGAATATACGAACAAATTATTTGTGTATGTAGGCCCTACATAGCTTTTATCCACTTCAGAGAAATTGTATTCATATTTTCTACGGGAAACTTGCTCCAAATTTTGTGGGTAATGTCAGTAGTAGGGTATTCTGAAAGAAAAAAAGTAATTTACTTGCTAAATGAAATACCTCATAACCGGGCATTTAGGTGTGTAACTATAGAGCCAGAATGCAAGTTGCTTAGAAAGAGTATAAAAGAAAAACATTTCCGGTGTTTTTAAATGTTGATGGTTTCATAGGATCATACAGTCATGTGGTACATAATTGTTCAAATTTATTTATTAACTAGCTGTGTACCCGTTCTACGCACGGGGATCTTATAATATTCAGTTGAAACCTTCTTATATAACGAACAGCAGTTGGTTTGCATATTTTAAGATATGCTGGCCAAACTATTATACATAGCTTCATTTTATGTTGTTTTTTGTTGTTCCGGATCGGTATGACAATCAATAAAAGGTTAAATTACCTCTGTGTCTGCCGGTCGATCCTATAACGGTAGGCTTACTTTTATTTTTACTATCTGATCTCGTTTGCATGGCTCAATCACGTCCTGGTTGAAGTTCGTTCGCTACGCTCACTCACCTGTATGTTGGAGCTCGTTCGCTGCGCTCACTTTCCTTCAGGTTAGCTCGTTCGCTACGCTCACTTGCCTTCAGGTTAGCTCGTTCGCTACGCTCACTCGCCTCCAGGTTGCAAATTAGCTGTTGTCATAAATGTAAAAGAAATAATAGTGCTAGTGCTGCACCCTGTTGGTAATCCTTGTAACTTTAATGCTATTGAACATCACAGAACAGAACCAACTTGTTTAATTGAAACAGCTGTTAAGATTCAATAATTTCATTTCTCATAAGGTTAACATGGGCTTCCAGAAATTCCACGTCAAAAATCGACAAAAACTTGATTTTCAAGGGTTTACTGTTAAATATCTAACTGTCTCATATTCGATGAAATACGTCTAAAACCATCTCATATATGTATAGTATTTGGAAAATAAGTTTCAGGCGGGACAGTGCTATAGTTATTGAGGAGTAGTTGTAATAAAGTGCGTATTTTAGCGTTACCAAGAGAATGACAGATAGACAGACAGACAGACAGACAGACAGACAGACAGAAATTGAGATAAGGTTTGATTCGGTTTCTCTGACCTATGAAATGTAAAAATAACCAAAAAGTTCATTATTCTAAGCAATGTACAGACAAAACTCTAATTTTATTTATATAGATGTATGCATGCAATTTTTTTTTTAAATTTAATATTTTTCTCATCACAGAGTTGAATGTACAAATGTTCAATTAGGGTTTGCTAACCACCACATCTGAGACCGTTAGCCATTGTACAGCGTGAGAAGCGTGCTAATTGTCAATTATTCATGCCCGATTGTATGTAGATAGAATGGCCAGGAGACACATTGTGCAGTGATTGGACCAGTGATTAGAAGACATGTGACAACTGTCTGAATCTGCTTTCTCTATTTGAGATTCAGATGATGTATGTCCCCATTTTGGGTGTGTGTTCAGTAATTGTGTAGGCCTACTTGATGTACATTGAATTTTCAATGCTAAGGGTTTCCAGCAGAGCCAATAGAATTCTCTGCACCTCATTAGAGATAAGATTGTGCAATGTTTATTGTTAAAAAAATGCTGTCAAGTCCTAGTTGCTTTTCAGTAATTTTATGGAAACAGTTCAATTGCCACACAATTTAGATGTACACTAAAAAGTGTCTTTATTGTGAAATGCTACTTAAACAATAGGGTATTTGCTTTCCAAGCACTTTCCTGAATTGTTATGCTCAGTATTGCAACAAAAGGAGAGGTTTCAGTCATCCCTTTTTCTATATGCACCTGTAGAAAAAAAATATTTTAAGTAAATTGTGTACAAGATAAGATCAACCAACACTGGATTTTACTTATGTCAACCAACTAGTCTAAAAACCTTTAGGAGATTGTAGTGTACCAAAGTCATTTCAGTTGTATTTATTTTAGTTTTAGTTATAAGTTACCGGACACAGTTTTGTCACTGAAAACAATCTTTTAGTGTTCTAGAGGTAATGATTTCACTGTGTTTGCTCAGTGCTGAGTAAAACCGTACTTGCAACCTGTTTTGTAAATTACAATAAAATTTGCCTCAAGATCATTTCTTTCATTAATTCTAGTTATTTTTCCCTTTTGTATGTTGTCTTTAAACAGAAGGTAATCATCAGAGGTGGTTGAGTAGTTAAGCTCATTATTTGCTAATTTAATTTTTTGGATTGCTGGTTCATTTGGTATTTATCTTGTAAGATTACAAGGTACAGTGAATTCCATATTTTTCAAGCCATTTTGGTGTGTTTGACAGGAGTTTGCACTAAGGATCTCGGTGTATATTTATACTATATTTTTACCATTGTCACAACTAAAATAAGCTGAACAAGCGCAATAAAACTTATTAATGGCCTGCCAGCAGATTTCCTCTACTGCATGTCTATTGTAATCTGATAAACAGGCAGATTTGGACAGTTCCAGTCTGCTGATCATGTGTGTAGGCATGATTTACTTTTGCTATATCAAGTACCGTAGCCAAGTCTGGTGGATTACTGACTATTGTCTCTGTGCTGTCTTCCTCATTGTACAGACATTATGACCTTGTTCGCTCAGGGAGTGCGGCTGGCTGGATGGTCGGCCCTACTCTCCCTGGGCAAATAGGGTGTAACTGTAGACTCTAATATGGAACCACTGGTTTGATCATGAATCCCTTGAAAGGGTTTTGAAAGTACACATACTGACCACATTTCACGCTATTTTCACTAGATAAATTTATTTATTGATGTTTCTTCAACGTTAATATTATCAGTAAAATGATATATTTAACCAAATAAATTGGTTCCAATAATAGGAAAATGTAAATCTTATGACAACATGTAGAGCAGGAACATCAAATGAAACCAAAATAAATACATTTTATACTTTATTTTATTCAAATTTCCCTGAAACCATTAAAATTAAAAGAGGGGAAAATATTAAACGACCATCGCAAGGTATCACTTTAATACTGATCTTCTGTATTTTATAGCCAATTAAATCGATTCCATAAATAGAAAAATTGTATTAAAAAATGGACCTGGCAACAGGAAATCTAAATGAAAACAATATAAATAAATATTACTTTAAAAATCCCCTAAAACCATAAAAATAAAAAGAAGGGATATAAAAATTTAGCAAAATTAAAATGATTATCCTCTTCAAAATGATATATGTCACTAAATAAATCGGTTCAAATAGTAAAAAAATGTTAGTTTTGTTATAAAAACAAACCCAAATATAGGATGACCAAATGAAAACAAGGATACATTTTATGCTTTATTATATTCAAATTCCCCAAAAAACCATTAAAATTAAAAAGAGGGGAAAGATTACATCGAACAAAAGAAAATAAAGAAAAACAAAATACACAAACTAAAGTTTGATAAATGATTGAACGTAATAAGATTATAAAGTTTCAAGACATTCCCGTTCAAGTGGTTTCTGCTTGATTTTATTCTTTCTTAACTTGGGCAGCTTGTTTGGCCTGGTGAGCTTGAAGTACAGCGACTGCCTCTTCCACCTGTAAATACGTAGCAAATGCCAGTCAAGTTGTAAACTCTAATTGTTGTTCACTTTGTTGTAAAATCCTAGCTGTGTCAAATTAAATTAAATAGAGACAGAAAATAATATGATACTACGGTGAACTGAATAATAGCGATAATTCCTGTGGGAACAGAAGTCAATGGAAATTTCCGAACGTCTAAATTTCAAGGGGAGTCGCCATACGAGAAAGAAGGAAGACCTAGATGATTCTATTCCAAGGGGCCCACCAATCGGATACAAGCATTGCATCACGTGGCTTGTATTTGTTCCGTTTTGGTGGAAAATCAACACGTTTTGAGTGCGCTTTGCCTATCTAGGACGGGGTAGTAACAGATCACTCTTATACTCTTATTCAGACTACTTTAGCACATCGTTTTCATAACCTTAACCTAAGTTCCTGAGGCTAACTCTGATTTCTCCATGTTTAACACTTTTGCAAAATTTAGTCTAAATTATATTGTAGGTCATCAACATCATACTACGTCTGGACTTCAGGACCAGGGACTTTGGATCGGATAGACTCCTCTGAACAACAGACCACCTTACTGGCGACAATGCAACAACTTCTTGGCATCAAATTGTCACAAAGATAAGGGTTAAGTTAATTATAAGGTTATATTTTATGTAGTACAGGATAACAATTGATGTATGTGAAGATGGGAGGAAACATCACTTTTTAGAAAAATTGTCTGTTTAATCCACTTGCTAGGGGGGTTCCCGTGTGCATTTTATGTATAGAAAAACACCTAAAGGGATCATGTAGGTACTATGTGGGTTATCATTTTTCACGTGGGTGCCAGCCTGGCAGAGTGGGCATAACCTCAGAATCCGCCATTTTAAAAATGGCGGCGGCATTTATTACATGAAACTCGTTGGGAGCTTATATCTCGAAAACGGTAATATATAGCGAGTTACTTTTATAACAATAAATGTTGTTTACACAATAAGGAACAACTTTTGTATTTACGAAAATGCCCTAAATATAACTATTTAGGAGTAGTTGAGCAATTTATGTTAATTTAACCGATACATTTTTACTCTGTTTGACAAAAAAATTCTAATATAAAAAAAAAAACTGTTCCTTTTTAATTTTGCACATAACACTTATTGCTCTTTACATTTAAGGTCAAAATACCCCCACCGAAGCAAACCTGCAGACTAAGCAAACATTTACCTGGCTGCATTTCTACTAAAATATTAAAATTGACAGATTGATTTCCTATTTAAATGACATTGATTTGTAATGAGTACTTAAGTTTGCTGCTTCAGGGAAGGTATTGAGGTGTTTTTTTATATATTTTTATTGAAATTTTGATAGCTTAGTATGAATGAAACAACATTTTGAAATCTGACTCTAATATATATCTATAAACAAGCAAACTAAAACAGTTTATTTATTCTCCATAAGAATAACATGGGAATTTTAAATTTAATTTTTTTTTTAAATATCTCCTTAACTTTTGGGCATACAACGCTTCAATATACAAAGTTATTTCTTTTTTGAGCTCTACAAAATGGTTTCGTTCGTTATTAAATTTCGTTTTTTTAGGGTCAAAAATCTGAAAAATCCATTTTTACCCCATAAAACTCCCCATAAACCCCTGTTCACACAGTCCGATCGTGCTGGTTTAATAGTCCAAATTCGTCTGAAAACGTAGGTTTACACGTTTGTGATAAATTTCATTAAAATTGTATAATTTTTGCTCGAGTTATCAAATTAAGTCGTAGTTCTGTCTTCGGATACATATGTCGTAGTGTTGGCTTTACACTTTATGAATGGATTTTCTTCGGAAGGTTTGCAGGAATTGTGGATGCGACTTGGTTCAGCCAGAACTTGATATGTACTAGTTCACATTATAGCAAACAGGCTTGGAAGTAACCTTTGCTCAGTTCTCCCAGCACTTCATATTTAAACGGGCTGTGACTTTGCCAGCAAATTTGGAACAAAGCGTGCTACCCTAAAATGTAATCCCTAAATGTAATGTAATGTAAAATGTAATGTAAAATGTATTTTAATAACTTATATATCTGCCAGAAGCTTCTCGAATGCTTTTTGCAGGTTTTTTTACCTTAAATGCGAAGAAAAATTAGTGCTATGTGCCAAATTACAAAATAACAGATTTTTTATAATTATTAGATTTTTTGGCAACAGAGATAAAATGTATAGGTTAAATACTATAAATATGATAATTTTAATATTTTTGTAGAAATGCAGCCAGGTAAATGTTTGCTTAGTCTGCAGGTTAGCTTCGGTGGGGGTATTTTGACCTTAAATGTCAAGAGCAATAAGTGCTATGTGCAAAATTAAAAAGGAACAGTTTTTTAAAGATATTAGAATTGTTTGTCAAACAGATTAAAAATGTATAGGTTAAATTAATATAAATTGCTCAACTACTCCTAAATAGTTATATTTAGGGCATTTTCGTAAATACAAAAGTTGTTCCTTATTGTGTAAGCAACATTTATTGTTATAAAAGTAACTCGCTATATATTACCGTTTTCGAGATATACGCTCCCAATGAGTTTCATGTAATAAATGCCACCGCCATTTTTAAAATGGCGGATTCTGAGGTTATGCCCACTCTGCCAGGCTGGCACCCACGTGAAAAATGATAACCCACATAGTACCTACATGATCCCTTAGGGTGTTTTTCTATACATAAAATGCACACGGGAACCCCCCTAGCAAGTGGATTAGTTGTCTCTCTTTGCTAAAATCAACCAATGCCAACGATTCATTAAAACTGAGCAGTTAGAATCATTTGAATGCTTCAAAGCATCTAAAACTCATGCTCTAACAAAAAATAAAGGACCTATTTGAAATAGGGGCTATTAGAACAGACCAAGAGAGCTAATCGGAATAGTAAGTTAAATAAAAATTTATGTTCAAGAATAGCTGAAAGGAATAGTAGTAGGCTAGTAAAAAAAAAAAAAAAAAAAAAAAAAAAAAAAAACGGTACCGAAATTACTTCTGAAGTGTGTGTCAAGGTACTGAAATGAATTATAAATAATAATTTATCAAAGAAAATAAGGGTACACATTACGTACGTATTCAGAGGTCTCTCTTACTCTCAACTGTTAGGCCATAACTGAACCCTCATCGCCATTTTTGGCATACATTCAGTTAGTAATTTCATTTTTACACAGTTAATTTTCATTACGTGGATACTGTGTAAGTATAACTTGACTAAGTTCAATATTGACCATGGCATTGCAAGCTTTGTTGAAGTTCCGTTTAGTTTAGACTACATTTCTTTTTAAAAAGAAAGAATTGGGTAGTGTATAAAAATGGTGAGATGATTTACCTTGGCCTTGAGAGACTCGTTGTGCTCCAACATGTGCAGCAACTCTGAGTTGTCAATCTCAAGCAACATTCCGGTGATCTTTCCTGCCAAGTCTGGGTACATACGCTGGAAAACACATCAATTTGGTAAATGAAGTACCTATATGTACCAGTATGACCTTACAGTAAACAATCCATTTTATGAATAAAATGCTTTAAAGTCAAACATTTAAAAATATCAAACAAAAACTGCATCCCTGATTTTATGAATAAATATGTAACAAAATGAAACATATGAAATAGTCATTTTAGTAGGACTATCTTATTTTTAGGTTGGCCAAAAGTCATAAATGATAGAAGAACAGTCCCAAAATCATTCTCTGAGCCTAAAACAATGACTTTACTGCCAGCCTTGACAGATAATCTTTAAAACACAAGACTGAAAAATAAGATAAGACTGAAATTGACTGACTTAGAAGACATGTGTTCAGATGCATAAAAGCTCGACAACCCAGAGCATTACCGTCGAAGCATCTTGTTCAACACTGGGAGGGTTAAAACCAGTAATACTTAAGTATTAGTGCACTGCATTGAGTGAGAAAACCTAGAAATTATGTTAAACAAGAATAGATTTCATAGAATTTATACTCATAGGGCTAAATTCTAGGTACAATACGTGAGTCTGTAAGCTCCATCTATCCCTAAATACTGCCATATAGCAGGGATATTTAACATATTTGATTGTATTACACAATTATTAGAAAGAAAGCCAAATATGAAACTAGCTAGTTCCACAGTTATAGGCTATGTGTGATAAGCCAAGATAAAAATTATAAAATACATTTATTTGTAGTGGTACTTAAAGAATCGTTATTAAACGTGGCATCCACTGAATTGTTATTTACACTTAGAATAAATAATTTTTCTGATCCTAATTTACTCAGTACCGGTACTGTAATAGTGTTTATCAGTTGAAGTGATAAGAAAATAAACGTTACTCAACATTGATACTGATAAGAGTCAACATTGATACTAATAACAGCTATTTCCTTTGACCAAACGGCAAAACACCCAAAGTCCAAATTAGGCTATTACTCCAGTACTGTCCAATTACAAATGTATACTGACATTTTTCATAAATCACAATAGTAAAATCAAACTCTTAACAATTTATTGAGTTCTCGTTTTACCAGTATTTTTAAGAGAGAGCAAAAGGCAGTCTTCTTCATATTCAAACCCTGGTAGATGTGAGCAATTACTTGGTCAACCCCAAACTTTTTCATATTTTACTACGGTCATAAGAATATTCTCAGAAAACAAGAAACAACATATAATGCCAGTTGTGACAGTACAGTTATGTTAGGTTAGGTTAGATTAGGAAACATGCACAGTAGTCGCAGTTAGTCTGGGCGTGCGGACCCTTGTGTACTAACCGTCCCTCACTCCAAAGCCATGAAGACAGCGCCGAGGCGCTGAACAACCCCAGAGAGCCGTGTGGGCCAGTTTTTGGAAATGAGCAATAAACACTCCCCTCTACACACCCCGCCCTAGCACGGCCGCGCACCTAGACTAGCTGCGACTACTGTAATTCAAGCCCCGCAAGGTTAGGTTAGGTTATGAATTAACCTAACCTAACCTGGCGGGGCTTGAATTTAATTACATGTTTCTTGTTTTCTGAGAACATCCTTATGATCGTATTAAAATATGAAAAAGTTTGGGGTTGACCAAGTAATTGCTCAGAATTACCCAAACCCTTTAGTGTAAATCCCTACTTAAACCGGTATAACATATGTCTTGAATGAAGAAAAACAATCTCTAATTAACAAATTTCCTTGCTCTGAAGGATTACGTAAGTTAACAATTGCTAGCGGTGCAGAGATTCCTTGTCAGAAATTATCCATTCACCCTAAGCATATAAACAAGAGGTTATCCGGCATCAACCTGCCAGTTGACCAACATTAGGCAATTATTTTGTGCAGTGTGTAAACTAGAGAGGGATTGACGAGATTTTATTTTGATCAAGATTTTTTTGAGACAAGATTTAAAAAAAAAGTAAAAAACGCCTGCAGAAAGTCAATGCAATATCCGCAATACAGGAGCACGTTGTTGTATTGTTCCCTTTGCGAAGGCGTTCTTATTTGATTAATTCTTTACATGAAAATAATGCTTTGTTTTGACATCGCAAATGATGAGAAGTTTTGTTACGTGTAAGCAGTGTGAAACATGTTTTAATACTGTAAACATAGCCTAACAAGTCACTCCAAAAATAACACAAGACTGATAAATGTTTACTTGATACTTAACTAGTACCTAAGACTGATGTTTCAGACTGATAAATTTTGTATTTCATTTCTCAACGTTGAACTATATTCCTAACTGATACCACCATGTTTCCTATGCATATGAGTTATTTTTAATAAGGTAGGGCAAATTAGTGCTATACTGTATTTGTTTTTGTACAGATTTTTAATTGATGTTTTTTAAATAAAAGATGTTTAATAATCTAGCAAATTATTATTTATTTATGTATTTATATAACCAGTCATCTGTCATAAATCAGTAGGTATTTAACAATGTTACCAAATCAGGTTAAAATGCCCAACATGCATACGCTATGTATGAGAAGGGAAATCCCGTCTTGATCTTGTCTAAAAATTTTATCAGGAATAAAAATTCCCGTCTATACTCGAACTAAAAATCCAATCTTGCCCATTCCTAGTAAAAACATATACCATTATAATCTGCAGACGACACTAGTTTAAAGATTGACTGTGGGATTTGTCATGATCACGACTTTCATAACAATCATTTGGTTGAATTTAACTTGCCACCAGTTAAATTTACCTGAATCAATGGGAAGAGACGTTCGCCCAACATCTGTTTCTGATCTTGCGGAAGAGCTGCCGCCAGCATAGTGGCAGTTAAAGGCTCCTGGCCTTGGATGTGGACAGCCTACAACGAAACACAAACAACATGTTTTGGTAAAAAACTCTTTGCAGTAAAACCTTTAAATAACTGTCATTAAACAAGGACTATGATAGTTAGCTCAGTTATTAGATAACAGAAATTCATTTAAAAATTTAAAAAGTTTGGATGAAACATTTTGGAGATTTCACATTAAATTAAAACCACTTTTTAAAAATCTTCAAATTCCTACTATTATTAATGTGTATATTTATGACTTAGTTTATATCTTGGAAAATCAACATCTTTTAAAATTTAGACACAATACTCATAATCATAATACCAGAAATAAGAACCATACATCAATAGAATTCCATCGTTTAAGTAAAACTCTAAATAAATAGTCACATAGTTTTGTCACTTAAAGTGTATAACTTTCTTGAATCCATAATTAAATTATATACTATAAAGGATTTCAAGAATAAATTTTATTGTTGGCTGACCAATAACCCATTTTATAGTTTGGAAGATTTTTTTTTAACAATAAGATTCTTCAGTTGTAATTTGTTTTTTGTTTTTTTAACAAGTACTGTAGGCCTATATGTCTCCTTTTTTAGTTAGCTATAAGTATTTAATTAATTATTAACTGACTGTGCTATAAGTTTGTTTAGCTGTATCATGACGTTGTCAATAATTTGTTAAAATTCAAAAGACAATAAAGCATATTTCATTTCATTAAGGTTCCACTGTAACTGTATTTAACTACCTTGTTAAATGTCTATTGTAAAACAACAAAAGTAACCTGGCCATGCATTGCAATTGGACTAGAAAAAAAATTGTTACGATAGGCTCAATTTTATTTTGTAAATCGGGGTTTTTATGCTGCTTCAATTATTGTAGTATCAATAACTACTAAGTTAGAGAAAATGTATAACAGTAGCACTTCCTACGAGTGGCTCATTCTTGGCCAAAGACATCTGTCACTAACCTGTTGTACTTGGGCCTGTTGGGCAACAGGCATGGCCTGAGGAGGGTTGCGCATGTTGGGAGTGTACTTGTAGTTGGCCGTGCGTCCCTGGGCTGACACTGACACTGGTTGAGTGCCTGTGATTGGTCCTCCACGACCCTGTATGCCCGGCTGTTGTCCGGTGATGGGGCGTGCTGCGATGGCGTTGCGCATTGATGGCTGGGTAGCCGTCGGAGCCCTTGGGGCAGCACGGTACGGCCCCTGCATCGCTGGGAAACCTGCAATCAAATAAATTAGCAATCTTATAATTTACTTATACACAACATTTTTAATTTTCAGAAGTAAAATGACAATTTTAACTCATACTCTCTGCTACAGATTCAGTACAGTTGCAAAATTGAAACTCGACTAACATATGTTATGTTTTCAATTTTTTATTACTTTACTCTCATAATAATTGTTACAATTCATGTACGGTATCTTGTTAAATAAACAGTGAAGTGGAATGCTGCAGATGGATAAACATGATCCATTTGGACTGGGAATAAACATGATTATTATCTACAGATAGCTGCAGCAGACAATCCTTGTGCAGGGTTTTGCAGCTTGTATTTTTATAAAACTAAATTTGTATAGCACTACAGTAAATTCCCCACTAACTCGACTATTTGTGGACCCAGAGGTTGTCGAGTTTCAGAGTTGTCGAACTATCCAGAACACTGAAACTATTTTTTAATGGGTTTTAATCAATGAGTTACCAGTGCCAGGGGTCTGGGCGTTGGGTCGGATGGTAGGTTGGTTTGGCCAACGTGGCTGGGGTCGCATCTGAGTCATCTGAGCCGGGCCGTAGAAGCGCTGGGGTGTGGGCAGTGTGGGTACAAAGTAGCCTCCAGCACCACCTGGTTGGAACATCTGCCCCATCTGCTGCATGCGCATGTTGGCCACTCGCTGCATGTACTGGCTGGCCAAGTGTGCCTGCAAACAGAGTGGTTACTGTATTACTTTTAAAAAGTGGCTAAGGTCTGGTAACACATTTTAATTTTGGTTTTGGCTTGAAAAAATTTTAAAACAAGGATTCGAGTTGACCCTTGGATTGACACGTAAACCAAGTAGCACTTGACATCCAGGCCGGCGAACAGCTGATAACAAGATATCACAGAAAGTTTCAAACTGTCTAGTGGCATACTTGACTCTTTACGTACACATACAATAAGGGCGAAAAGCTTAAATAAGAAATACATTTTTCGAGGCAACGTCGCAACACATAAAGTAGCAAAAACTAGATAGGCTACATTATTCAATTAATGTTCTTAAATATTTTTATTTTAAATACAAATCAAACACTAGCTGGTTTACGGTGAGTGGTTGACAAAAACAAACCAGACAGTATCATGGAAAAAGTTGTTTCACAACATACCTTACGATCTTCTTTGCGCTGGGCCAAAGCAACGTAGAGTGGCTTGGACCCAACTATGCGGCCGTTCATCTCAGTGACCGCCTTTGTAGCCTCTTCCGGCGAAGAAAAGCACACAAAACCAAAGCCCTTACTGCGGCCCTCTTCCAACATCACCTGTGAATCAAATGCAACAGAATTAAACTAATCACTTAAAAATCTTAGTGTCAGGTTTTTAATTATTCTCTTTTTTTATTTAGTTACGATACAATATGAAAATGTATGCTCATATAAGACATGATATTCATTATTCATTACCAATATTATATTTTACCTTTGCACTCGTGATGGTACCAAACGGTGTAAACTCTTTACGGAGGCGCTCATCATCAATAGTATCGTCCAAGTTTTTGACATACAAGTTGACTCCTTGGTAGCGGGTCATGCGTTCCATCTTGAGAATCTCAAACTTGCGCTTGAGTTCCTGTTGGCGTTCTGCTTTCTTTTGAGCACGGCCTACGTACAACACCTGCACACAACGTTGATAATGCATTAGCATGACTTAGGTGATTTTGGTTAACAATTAATTATAATAGAAATTAACTAAAACAGCAAACCATATTACCATATTAGCATGGCAGCAAGGAAGAATCCATGGTTTGATGAAGAAAGTGAGCAATCTATCCCGAAAAAATATGCGAGAGGAAAAGGAAAGTGGTTGAACAGTGAGTTTAACGAAGATAGAGGAGAATATTTTAGAGTAAACAAAGAGACCACAAGAACCCTGCGTAAGAAAAAGAGAGTACTTGAAGGGACTACTAGAAAAGGCAGAAAGAGATCAGAGAGCACAAAATGCCAGACTTTTATAATGTGTTAGGCACTTCCGAAGAGGATATACACCAAATGTATTTGGCATTAAGGAGAAAGAGGGTAATATTTTACTACAGTAACAGGAAGTGACGAACAGATGGAGAGAGCACACTTTGAGGAGTTACTGAATGGGGAATAAATTGGCAATAATGAAGAAATCCCCATAAACCATGACGTACAACCTCTTGTTGAGAGTCCAACTATTGAAGAAGTAGAAAAAGCTTTAAATTCCTTAAAGGATAACAAATCTCCTGGAGAAGATGGTATGGTAGCAGAATTATTTTTAAAAAAGTGGCAGGACTCCACTAGAAAAACTCCATAATATGATATGTAGAGTACAGAACGAAGAAAAAAATGTCAAAAACATGGAGAGAATCTATAATGGTGCCAATATATAAAAAAGGTGACATAGGAACATATGGTAATTACAGAGGAATTTTGCTCAGTCATGGATATAAAGTTTTTTCAAAGGTTAATTCAACTTTAAGCGTCTCAAGAAATACACAAGTAGTATATAGAGGATCGCCAGGCGGGATTTGTAAAAGGGAGATCTGCAATGGATCAAATTCACATACAGTACATAAAAAAGTTTTTAGTTTGGGATCCCCGGAAAACTAGTAATGTCCCTGAAAGGATCAAAATGCAAAGTAAAAATAGAGGGAGAGTTATCAGAAAACTTTGAAGTAAGGACAGACGTAAGGCAAGGAGATAGACTGTCACCTATACTATTTAACATGCCCTCCATCAAGTAAAGTAAACAAATATAGTCTTGAACATGGGAGCAAAAATAAACATCCTAGCTTTTCCAGGCGATGTAGTCATCCTGTAAAAAAAAGAAATGACGAAGAGGAGATCACCTGTTCATACAAAAAACAGAAAAAATGGGCCTAAAGATTAATGATGAGAAGACGAAATAATACATGCACTTCACAAGACAGTCTAATTAAATTATTGAGGGCAAATTAAATTATTATAGATGGACATAATTAAGTTGTTGAATAATTTAAATATTTAGGGGTATTATATCAAACAGCAATAGTGAATAAATGGAAATAAATTATAGGATTGCTCAGGGCAATAAATGTGAACACTTGTAAGAATTTGTTGACTAAGATTCTTTCACATAGACAAAAATAAAAATATATCATAGTATAATTCGACCAGTATTAACTTAACACAATAGGTACTTAGTCCATTAGAAAATACTAACCTTCCCTTCGTAAACCTCCTTGCCATGAAGGTCCTCAACAGCGCTCTCGGCCGCTTCAGGATCTTCGAATGCCACAAATCCAAATCCACGTGACTTTCCATCGTCTTTGAACATAACCTAGAAATAACAAAATAGGTTGTATTTTAAATTAAGAGAATAAAAATTATGATACAATAGTTAATTACCTGTAAGCTCTTTCATCATTTTCCATTACTGAAGAAAACATTCAAGATTAAAAAGTAAATGATATACATATAAATCTTTTAAGCCTGACAACCAATTCAGTCCGGCGCTCCTTGTGTTTTATAGGTATTGTGACAACATAACAATATTTGGTTAAACAAATATAAAGAGAGACAGAATTTAAGGTTTGGCGAAAGCTGTAACCTCCCAGGTAGAAAAGCTTTAAACTAATTTACTTTGACAAGTAATGTCTTTATATGGCGCTGCCCATTCTTCCATGTAGGCTACAAATAAATAAAGATGTTAAATCGAATATATAAGACTTCTGAAACTTAACGATTTTTCATATTTTTATAACAGTTCTTTAAAAACACATCTTGGACAAAAGTATTTTTTTTAAGTTGGTAAACAAAATATAACAATAATAAAACGATGAATAAAACAATCCATGTTTAATTCCCACAATGCTAAGTTTTCATTTCAAAAGCTGCCCATAACATTATGAATGTTTTGACATTTAGAAACATTAAAACTACAAATATTTTCTGCTGGTATGAACCAACTCAAAATAAGCAGTTGAGTGTTGAGCTTAAGTAGAACTATTCTTTTACCAACATTGACATATTTGTGCCTCTGAAGTACTAACCTTGTGAGAAGTGATGGTTCCGTACTTCTCAAACATCTCCTTCAGCATTTCGTCGGTCATTTCCTCCCCAAAGTTCTTGATGTAAACGTTGGTGAAAAGCTTGGCTTTCTCTCCCAACTCCTTCTCACGCTCCTTGCGGGGGATGAACTTACCAACGAAAACCTTCAAAGCCAAAATGGTTACTCAAATTTAAGGTAAAAAATAAATACAGAGAATTTAAATGGCTAGACCAACTATGTTTTTGAGAAACGAGGAGAAATAGTATTCAGTCAATCCACAACAAGTGGCCCAGGAAGTATTTGGTAGCATTAACATTTAAAATATTGTTTATACTTTTATGTTTTTGAAAGTAATAACATTATCAATCTAGATATAACAATAAGTTGATAATACATTTAAGTTAAAAGTAAGTCAAACAATAAACGGATGCCAAAAGATTCCAGCTAAACTACAATGACAGTATTATTACATTTATTTGTCAGAGCGCCATTTGACGTAAAACCACTAACCTTCTTTCCGTTCAACAACATTCCGTTCACTTTGTCAATGGACTTGTTTGCAGCTTCTTCAGTTTCGAAGTGGACAAAGCCATATCCTTTTGAAGCCCCGGTTTCGTCTTGAGCCACCTTTGAATGCAACATTTTTAAATTTAACCTTCAATATTGAAAAACAATTTTAATCTTTAGGAAATGAGAAAGTTTATTTTGAGGGGTGGATGCATGTAGTGTATACACAACGCTATGATATCAATGTTTTTATACTCATTAATTCCAACCATTTGACAAAACTTTTACCACGGTTCTTTATAGATTTTAGTTTTTAATTATATTTACCCCTTTTGATACTGATAAGACATGTTAAAAAAAAACATTTTCAAAACCATAAAATGTAGCCTACTGTAATATTTTTGTCAAGGCCTTTAAAAAAAAAAATATTAATTAGGGCCTACTTAATAAAGTTTTTAAAGACTACTTTGAGTTAAAATTAAGGAACTTGGTCTAACCCTTCCTGCTACAATATTAGGTCTACATTTTAAAGTAATGTTCAAGAAGCAAGGTTCAGTGTAGTAGGCCTAAAGCTCTAGCAGTTTCGGGACTTATTGTAACACAGCCTATGTGCAAAAAAAAATGTAATAGATGTGCAACACTAGTTTAAAACACAAAAATACATGTTCTAAACATAGTTAAAGTATGAACAATACAAGAAAAGGATTAAGTTAGGCTTTGATAACTATGCCTAGGGCAGTCAAGAGGAATAAGGTAAGGAACTAAGGAAAATATTATGATGTAAATGGTAAACTGGGGAATGGAGAATATTTTGTAAACAGTGGAAAAACTTTTAGAAATATGTAAAATAACAAAATTAGTAAGCTAATGACAAATGTTCATTATAAGAAACCAAAACTGTACGATATGGTTATAACTTAATTTAATTGTGCACATTATGACTATCAAACATTTTCTATCCTTGAAAAATATAATCTTTTGAAATAAAAAAAATATAATTTATATTAAAAATGTATGACTATAGCATCATAACTTTTTCCCTTTTCCATATCTAGTTCCTCATATCTTTATCTCTAAAAAAAATAGTAGAGGAATGAAAAAAGACATCACATTATTAAAGGAACTGAAGAATGCTTGATAGTCATAAGAATCTTGGTTATCACCGCTACCATCATGGTGCACCTGGAATCATTAGACCAAATCTTAATGAAAAAATATTTTCATTTTACTCTAGGATTTAATTTTATTTTTCAAATAGCAAGTACTGTAGGTACTTTAAGTCTATATTGTGAACCATTGTATAGTTCAATGATTTCAAAGTGCAAACTTTAAGTTAAATCTTCATTGCCTCTTCATAATCATATAAGTTGAATTTAATTGCACCACTGTTAAAACATATGATGAAACTTATTAACTTACATTGTTTTTATTCAATCAAAAAGTAGGACGGGTTTAGGGTACACTAAATCTCCTTGGGCTGGAGGCTGGACTAGCTTGGCAAGGTCTCATTGAATTATGTACAGTAGGGCCTATCAGTTTTTCTTGGATTGTATGAAAGATAATTTCAGACACACTGACACACTCACATAAATGAAGTTGTGGCTTATAGTGGCTATTTAAATAAAAAATTTAGTTTACATAAATGTATTTAAAAAAGTTTAGAAGCCTTTTCAACAATAACACCATAGGCCTAGTGCAAAAAGAAAGATTGGGTCAGTTGACATACCTTACAGCTAAGTATATTTCCGAAGGCCGAAAATGTATCGTACATAGCCTTGTTGTCAATGCTCTTATCCAAGTTCTTGATGAAAACATTACCAACACCAGATTTGCGCAGTGATGGGTCCCGCTGAGACCACATAATTCTTATTGGACGACCCTTCAGTAGATCAAAGTTCATAGTATCAAGAGCCCTCTCAGCTGAAAAATATAAAATTATTAAAATGGGCTACCTGGTAATAGGTAAAATACATAATATCTACCCGACTACCAAGTCAAAGCAACGTCTGTAAATTTGCAGATTGTAAGACTACTAACTTGCTTTTTATTTCTTTACAGTCTTTTATGAGAATAACGTAGAACTAAGGATTTAATTGGTACATTTTTTGTAGTGTTTTGAAACATTTTTCATATAAGTTATCAATTAGTGATAGGCCTCAAGGGAAATTATTTAAACTGATACAGGCTTACTCAAAACACTTATGGCTTTCATCCCAAAGAGACTAAAAACCCTCCAATATTTTGGTCGGTGAAAAAATCTGAAACACACAACACTTTGGCCATTTCTCGAAGGAGAAAGCAGGCCGAAATTTTACCTTTCGGATACTGATCAGGGACAGGTTGAGCAATGAAATCACAATGGTTGGGGAGGAGTTTAGTTTCAACCTAAAAACGGTCCAAGATTGGTCATTCACAACAGAGCACCAAAACACTTTTAGGCCTCTCTTTTTCCTGAAAGTGCTACCAGTATCTATGGACACACAATACGCATGTAAATTACCGTTACTAAAAGTTTAAATCCAACATAAAATGGCAACCTGAACTACCACCACTCTACACTTAAATAATAAATCGATGGAATATATTTCTTATTATAGATATTGCCAATCTAGCGGTCCTATTTTCCACCACAGAGAGGATATCTTACTAAAATCTGAAAGTTTGTGAGCTTTTGCGTTTGTGTGTGTGTGTGTGTGTGTTGCTCAATCACTCACAAAGTACCTACTGAACCTATTGAGTTGAAGTTTTGTAGGGAGGCACATGAAATAGGCCTGTAACATATAGGCCTATTTCTTCTTTAAAAATTCATTCGGGCTCTGCCCCACTGGCTGTCAAAGTTAACATGCTATTCTAATGAATTATAAGGATTTCGAATGTATTTTTTTTGCTTAACGGATGTATTAAAAAGGCTATACAATATGCAACATAATCAGATTTCCAAATAGTTCATAAGGTTAACTTCAGAATGCAGCACTTTTAAGGTTTACGTTTATCATTTTTGATGTTAGCCTCCGGATTACGTTGAATAAATAAATTGGTTTAAATACCTGCTTCTAGTAATCTAATAGTCGCAATTTCTGTTACGCAACTAGTTTTGACTTCATACAGAAGTCATCCTCAGGCGTCCAGTGGATGTCAAAATAATCACTTCATCAGAAGATCGTCGATTCACACATGGTACATTCACACGCAAACACGCACATAGTCACATAAAAAAGGTACATTTACAACGATAATAACCATTAATTAGTATTATTATCGTTGTAAATGTACCTTTTTTGTGACTATGTTCGTGTTCGTGTGCGTGTGAATGTACCATGTGTGAATCGAAGACCTTCTGATGAAGTAATTATTTTGACATCCACTGGACCCCTTCTGTATGAAGTCGAAACTAGTTGCGTGACAGAAATTGCGACTATTGGATTACTAAAAGCAGGTATTTAAACCAATTTACATATTTAACGTTTAAATGCAACGTTAAAAGTTGTTTCTTATATGGAAAGAAGAGAAACCCAGTAAACATAGTAACAATAACTCCTATGACGTACTGTATAATAAATATGTTATTCATTGAATGATCAGCCGTAACTTATTCTCTAACTAACGCAATAGACATTATTGTTTTTACACTTATTTATTACTCATTAAACAATGTTAAATGCTCAATTTTTTTTATAATTTCAATCTATTTATTGCAGTTAGGTGAATTAGCGTAAGCCTTTAGAGCAAACATCGATTTTGACGGGTTGCACCTTGTAAAATATAAACTCTGTGAGACTTAACATAGTGTATTAAGAAACAATACACTGTCATGCTGTTCAGTGTTAGGCAATTTTACCATGCCTCGTTCTATTCACACATAGTGTAAGATATGGGGTGGGGTGATAATGCGTTGGAAGTGGAGGAAATAATTTAACTTAAGTTTAAGTTACTGTACCAAAGTTTCTGAAAGCGTCTGCAGCCACTCGGTTATTCAGTTGATTTATTTTCTACAATTAGTTTAAAGGCTTTGGAAATTTGCCCATTTGTAACTGATCTCAACTTTTTAAAGTTAAATATTTCCTATTTTCGTCATCCTAGTCATCATTTATTGTAGCCAATAATAATTTGATTCAACTCAAATGATACATTATTTTACTCAATCCATTCTATTTACAAAATTGGTAAACATAAACAATTAATTAACGAACACATGTTTTAAAACTATACATCAACCTGAGGTTAGTTTCGAATGAGTAAGGTAGGTACGTTAAGTTCTTGGGAGTCATGGTAAGCAATAATTATCTTGGTTCCCACATGTCGAAAATCTATAAGTTGTCTTTCAAGGGTTATATTTCTGTTCTCAGTAGATTAATACATTATGTACATTTTAATTGTATTAAAAAATCAGCCTATTTTGCACTATTTCTATCATTAGCAAATAAATAAATAAAAAATGACTGGATTTCCGAGCGTCTCTCAGTACAAATATAACTGTTTTACATAGTAACTCAGGTCAAATACTATCATCAAACTATGGTCTGATGTGTTTTATGGTAGGCTAACATAGTTCAAGTAAAATTCAGGAAGTATTGTTATTGCAAAAAAAGGGTTAGGCCTATTAGAATAGTTATGAAGGCTGATAGATTTTTTTTATTTTTTGTCCTAGGACCGGAATTGTTTTTCACTAATGTGTTTTTCACTAAGTAATCTTCAGGTTAGACCTAGGGGTTACGGCATTATCACTTAGATAAAATCGATTGGTGATTTGGTGGGATTTGAACCCGGGACCCCAGGATCCAAAGTCCCGCACTCCAACCACTAGACCAGCTCGCTCCCCAAGGCTGATAGATTAACACACTGCAAACCGCTATTTAGAGAGTTTGGTGTCATGACAACTTTGTCTATATTTCCCAACCCACAAAAGTAGGGACAATTATAATTGTAGAAATAATATACTTAGTTTTACAGGGTGTCTACTACATTCTGGATAAAAAATTCATGGACAATTCCCGTACATTTAAGGACTTTTGTCGGTGTGATAACAGAATAATATTCCTGATTTGTCAAACTGTATTAATCTTGTTCTTCATTGTAGTTGAATCTTGTTCTTCATTGTAGTTGTTCCAGAGAGAAAAGTAAATAATAATAGACAAGAATTAAATTTCAAAATAGAAACTTATTGAAAGTAAACAAACATATATTTTAGGTACAGCTTTAATAGTGTAGCAGAAAAACGCAATCATTGTCTCCTGCAATAGCGACAAAATCCTAAATATCTCCATCGGTCACGGAAACATCATAACATAGCTTATCCGATCCAGGCGGATTAATTTGGCATTATTCGCCCTGGCACAACGTTAGGTTCTCGACTACTTTTGAAAAAAAATCTGTAATGCATAATGAATGAATATATTGTAACTCGGTTCTAGGTACAAAATCGGTATGGTAAGCGGCTACCAGTAAGCACAGAGTAAGATTATTGTCTTTTCATCTGCAAAGTTAATATTGACACATAGCGATCATTAGTTAATCTTAGGCTCAATTACATTTTCTTAGTATATTTTACAGCTCTTTCAAAGAGTCAAAATACCCAGGCCTAGGCCTAATTATTTAGGAGGGCCTATATAAACTGAGTAACAAACAATGAGGTTATAATATCAGCAAAGTCACTACAATATCATCATTCTAGTTCATAAGATTTAGAATGCTTAAAGCATACAACGCAATAAATTAATAAATATGGGAAATAAAAAAAATTTAAACCTGAACGCCAACAATGTACAAAGATACAGAAAATGCAATGAAATAATTTGAAACCAAGTAGGCCTACGTAGTGATAAAACATTAGGTAATGCAAACAACAATGCTTGTGGTTTTGTCAATTGAAAGATAAAATATCCATAACAAAGGGGTTTAACTTAACAAAATAAGACTGTAGATTAGTTACATGTTTTATATGAAACCGAAACCATAAACAGTTTTATGGCACTAGGCAATGGCCAGTGGCAAATTGAATGTTCAAGACGAAAATACAAGTAAGAAGTGAAATTTAACAGCCATTATAAAACCATTATTTCCATGATAAAATATGTTTCTAATATATGGGATATATGGGATCTAATAATGATTACTCTACTAATAAATAAAGAAGTTGTAAAGAAATAAAAGTGATAAAACTTTTATGAGCTAAGCTACTACTGAGTCAACAGTTCTTGGAAGTACTTGATTGTCGTGATAAAATATTAATGGGTTTGAGACTGCTAATGGGGTTTTTATTGCATAATTACTCTAGTAATAAATTATGAAAATGTAAACAAACATCTGATAACCCTTTTGTGCTCCTAACCAACTAGCGATTGATAAAATTATGGCCCATTAAAAATTTAAGGACATAGTCTGGTATTTAAGGACAATTCCTGTACATTTCATGGCCAGTAAAAAATTAAGTACAATTCCCGGTTTTCCCGGATTTCCCGGTTGGTAGACACCCTGAACATATTACTTACCCAACATTTATTTATTTTACCAATTGAAGGGTCTAATTGCCATATTAAATTACAACTCAACGCTAGTTTCACAGGCGGCCGCTCGGTGCGGCGCTCGCGACGGAGTACGGGGCAAAAATGTACCGTGACACACTAGGTTTCGTACATCACTCAGAACATCGGACCAATCTTTTCTTTGATCTTTCGCCAAAAAACCACTCGTCTCCCTGCTCGGCCTGATGTCTGGTTCGCCATCTGGATCGGTGTACGGACCCCTGACACACTCGAACATGCTCCCTTCGACCTCCCTTCTCCCTGCTCGGTTCGGGGAAAAAGATCGATAGTGTGTCACCATCTTTAGGCCTACATATATTTTGTAAGCTTATTCATTGAATAGGCCTAAGTTATGTGACACATACGAAAGAAAACAACTGACTTGTACATGCATGTAAAAATGAAAAAAATCCAAATAGGCCAAGTTAAAAGCCGTAAGTTATGTCGTATTCTCAGTGAGTAGGCCAACTCGCCTAGCGTTTTAGCCTACCTCAGATCTGAGCTTATCTTAAGCACGGGTCACACTAGGCTGGCATCAGCGGCAAATTGAAAGAAGCCGCTACTATCAGCTTAATGTGACCACAAAATTCACAGCTGGCACAGCCTGTTTGGTGATGCTGGTGCCAGCTGCTGGCGAGCAGCCTAGTGTGACCCGTGCTTTAGATCCAACCAAAACGGCTTCTCTAGCCGGCTTAAGCTTATAGTGCAACTTACGGCTTACACACGTTCACTGCGGGCGTATCCGATCGGATACAGGCCGAGCGCTGTTCAGACACTGCCGTAACCGATCGGATACGCTCGGCAATGCCTTTCGTATATCATCGTTTTTGCTCTAGCCTCGGTCGAAGGCAGACCTATTCCACATTTGCGTGTGGTGGGTGACTTGCTTTTTGTTGTGTTGTAGGTTGGTAGTAAAATTTCCCCATAAAAACCCCGTCTGGCAAACTTAAAAATCAACTCGTTGTCCCGTCTTTCTCCCTCCAATTGGCAATACGATGGGACCAGCTACGTTCCAAGCAGTGCTGCTATATGTGAGTGTTTTAGCGAACTACGTCGACTATTGTTATAAAACAGGACATCACCGCACATTATTTGCTATTCGTCATACCGAAATATGAGAGCCAAACACCCGGCAATCGGGTTTGTTCGACGCTGCAAGCTGCGCCGCACTGGGTCTACGCCTGCCATTTGATGACCCGCAGCGAACATGTTAAGAGCATATGACTCAAAATTGGATTGCACAATCTGTGTAGGCCCTAGGCCTATCATAACTTAACTTAGGTCTGCACGACGCCTTGACAGTGTCACCTTAGGTTAGATAAGTTAGGGCTGCAAGTTTTAGGCAACAAAATCAATACAAAATTACATCGTAACAATGATTCTATGAAATACAGGTAGGCTAGGTTGAAAGGCCTTTACAGGCATAAGAACCTGGCTTAGGACTGATCGGTGATGCAAGTTATCATACCTTATTGTACCAGCGAACTTAAAACTTACCATCAGCAGGTTGTTGAAAGTTGACATAGGCATATCCTAAGGATCTTCTGGTGATCATATCACGACAAACCCTTATTGAAAGGACAGGTCCTGCGGTGGAAAATTTTTCGAACAGCATAGCCTCGGTGACATCACTATGCAAATCCCCGACATACAAAGATGCCATGGGATAGTTCGGACCTCCAGGACCAGGATTCATTTTCACTGATTATAACTGAGCACAAGATAATACAATAAACAGAATAATTCACTACTACAGACCAATATGAGAAAATTCACTGCCCACGTTGCAGATGTAAACCACTTTTTAAAACAAAACTAAGATATTTTATACTTTTTATGTTTTACTATTTTTTTGGGGGTTTTAGTTTTTATATTTTTTTTTGTTTTTTAAACGTAATTGTCTTAATTCACGAAACTAACCAGGTTGTGTGTTGGAAAACACAACCACACGTTGAAGAACTGATCTTCACACGGAGGAGGCCATTAAAGTAGGTCATCTGTAGTATCAATGCGCAGAAAAACACTACAGAAAGTAGATCCTAATATACATGCAGTTATTATAAAGAAATACGTCGATTTAACAACTGCTTGCAGTATTTAAGTTCATTATTTTAAAATTTTATAATTTATATTGTAACATTTATTATTTTCAAATAATTTTAAAGAAAGTTAGACTTTTTTCTTGAATAAATTGTAACGCGTATGACTAATTTTCCATTTCCTGTATCCTTTTTTTCTTTGCCACACTACTCCGTGCTACAGCCAGCATTAGTAAAAATCATAAGCGTATAAATCGAAAGATTCTTATATATTTAATAAAAATGTATTTAATTGTATGGATAGTATAAAATTTGTTATTTTGCGTGTCAAATTATAAAAATTACAGACTTTTCCCAAGGATTAAAAATACATAGTAAACCTAAATTTCATTTGATATCACAGATTTATAAACACTGACAAATTACAGCGATGTACTGATTATAAAATTGTATAAATAGAACAATATTATATTATAATAAATAAGTATATATAATTAATTTGTATATGAGGCGTCGAGAGGCCAAGGGAGATATGTGACTTTTTAAAAATAGTTGTCATGGTAACGGGTTTTGTTAAAAAAGGGTGGAATTTCAACAAATAATTCACTTATATCCCTTGGCCTCCAAACTAAACACCTAAGAGTTGGAAGCCAAGGGGTATAAGTGAATGTATTTTTATTTTTATATTTTTTTTATGACCATGAAAAAATATAATGACATTTTTTAAAAAGTCACATATCTCCCTTGGCCTCTCGACGCCTCATATCATTTCTTATTTCGTAAAAGAATACAAAAACTCATATTATTTTCTCTTGTTTTTATTCTGTCTGTAGAATTGGCAACGTCGCAAGCAAGTAGGGTTGTTTAGTGTCAAACGTCCCTAAGATAACATGACACACAGGTGATATCAGCTCATTAATTCGCACTTTATTGATTTAAATTTAAATTTGTGAACATAAATTTATTAAAATATTGAAAAAAATATACAGAATTGAAAAACAAAACAATATGAATTTAAAATCTATATCCACACATTTAAAGCGGAGTCAATATTTTCACAGTCCAAGCTTTCGTAAATACTGTACACAAATACCGTTATTAGCTGCTTCCAAACAAAAAACAGCTGTTTGCGTCCCTACAGTGCTTGCGACCTTGCGACGTTGCCACTTTGCGGGTCGTGGCCTGGAGTTAAAGGCGACCGTGCCTATCGTCAAAGGCTAAAGTCCCATAAATCACAAAAATAATAAAGGGTATGCTTCTCATGCAAGCTTTGACATTTTTTACGTCAATAACTCACTTTCACTGTTCACTCACAGACGTATAGTGTTTTATCTATTTTACTATGGTGAAACCCACTTTACATGTTGTAAAATTTGTCCATGGCAACCTCATGAGGATGCTATCACGCAAATCCTAGACACCAAAAGGTCAGTTGCCTTGTATGCCTACGTATCGTTTACACAAAGTTATACATGCCCTATGGCTATATTGTCTGTGACTATGACCATATATGACTATAGTCTCTTGCTTAGTCGTTTTCTGGATGGAGTGAAACCGAGTTGTATGAAACCTGGTCATTACTCTGTAGATAATAAGGGGCCAATATAGGTTTATAAGGCCACCCGGCTTCTTTGTTAACAAATTATGTAAATGCCATAACAGTTAGTTGTATTTAAGAATGTTATCGAATTCGGCATTATGATATTCAGATTCCCGATTAACATAAGAGTATTACTTATCTAAAAAATCCTATTGGGCTCAACCTCTACCCCAGTGGCTCTGGAATTTCCCATGTTGATCTTATATGACCATTCATATTTAAAAGGAAAATTAAATTAAAGAATTTATATTCAGTAATTCAGCTGTTTTGACTAAACATGTTGGTGCCATGATATTTGATAGCATTAAAAAACTATACGGTTTACCAAAACAGGGTGCGGCTTTATTAGTTTTTTGCATCATTTTACGATAACAGCTAATTTGAACTAAGCATCAACAAAAAGCTGTAACCAATGTCAAAGTAGGATTATTTACAGCTATTTTGTTTATGTTTTTAATTTTATATGGCGACATAAGCATTCAACAGAAATACTCGGAGTGTGCATGAAAATGATACTGTACAATGGAATACGACGCAACGCTAGACCAATAGACAACACAAATTATTAAAAATATATCGAATGGACAGAGAGTGTATACACTGCAGAATATAAAAATGGAAAGATGAGCCTTCTGGAATGAGTTGTTCTGGTGGAAAAGTTGCTCTACCTATATTAGAAGAGCCGATAGAAATACCTTGGAGAAACTGAAGAGTCGCGGTATTTTTAGTTTCAAGATTTTATGTTGTAATTTTATTTAGTTGGAGATTAATCACATGGTTTTGTGTTAGATGGTTTTCATTAAGTTTTTAATTGATATTTAATAGCAGTACAATTTCTAATCGCAACATGATTTTGTAACATGTACAAGAAATAATGATAGTTTATTTATTGTGATCACGGACGAAGCTAGTACGGGCAATTTTTTGCAAAACATAACAGAGCCAAAGCCATTGACCCAATGAAAAAATATTAACAACAATTAGGAAACTTTCAAGTATCCACTTGTGTCACCTTATTGTAATACTCTGTTTTGTTTATTTCTTATGCTGTATGATGGTGATACCATCGCAGGCGAACAGAAAACAATATTCAATGTCTCCATATTTCACGGTGGAGTTTTAATTCTATGGTCCTTGGTGTTGGTGTTGACTGTTTGTTATGTTTGGTTGTTTGTTGTCGTTGTCTCACGTCAGTCATGTCTGTCTGCTGGACTCTGGACTGTAGGCTTAGGCTGTCTGCTCTACTATGTCTGTGTTAACTTTGATAATTTTGTGTCTTACTTAATTTCTGCCACTTTTCAGTCACAGTCATGTTTTAGAATTTGTACTTGTACTTGCACATCAATAGGCATAGGCCTACGCCACGACGCTCCAAAACACTGCTGGACTTGTCAAATGTTTTCATGTGGATGTAAAGTGACACGACGACGTAGTGACACTGATGTTTTAATTTGCACAGTTTATCCAATTAACTGCAATTGAGCTTTGCGAAGAAATTTGAATAGGCCTATCCTTTCAACGTTTTTGGGTAATGTTTTAGTGTATTAATTTTTCATCATACAGGACTACAGTTTCGTCATGTCAGCGAGGTTATCAATCAATAGGGTTCTAACCAAAAGGCTCCTGTGCAATTTTAAGGGTAGAATTTTACTCTTGTTGCTTTCCTTTGCAGTATTTATTCTTGTTTACCAATATATTATATCATTGTCACAAGCGAAGATTATTTCACTTGATGAAATTCCAGATAATCTAGTCCCTGCAGTTTCAAGTATGAAGGACATTTCTGATAACACAAAACTTTGTGACCTGATGCCCATTGTCATCAATAGTTCCTGGCCACTCAGCTCACTTAATGTGACAGATGAATACTTGGAGACCCTTGCAATTCAAAGTAATATTAAATTAGGAGGCTTGTGGAAACCCTCTACTTGTGTATCACAGCACAAAGTTGCAATCGTTGTTCCGTACAGAGACAGACAATCTCAGCTTGACATTTTTGTTGCTCACATGCACCCCTTCTTACAGTTCCAGCATCTTCATTATCAAATTATCATTGTTGAGCAAACCCACCAAAGACCTTTTAACAGAGCCAAGCTGTTTAACATAGGATTTGTAGAAGCTGAAAAGATTTCACCATTTCATTGTTACATATTTCATGATGTAGATCTGATTCCGTTAAATATTCATAATATTTATGGATGCACCAAACTACCAAGACACTTGTCTGCTAATATTGATGTTTTTGACTACAAAATTCCATACGACTGGATATTTGGTGGTGCTGTTGCGATTTTGAAACAACAATTTGTGTCTGTGAACGGATTTTCAAATAAATTCTTTGGATGGGGAGGTGAAGATGATGACTTTTTCAATAGAGTAACAAGAAATGGGACCACCATATGCAGGTTCGAACCTGAAATTTCCAGATACACAATGTTAACACACAAGAAAGAACTACCGAATGAAGACAGATACTACTACTTATCAACAGGGGTGAGAAGATTTGAATCTGATGGGCTGAACTCTCTAAAATATACAGTGAGAGATATTGAACTTAAACCTCTTTACACAAAATTACTAGTCGATTTATAAAAAAATGTTAGGATAAGAATGCGATATTAGGTAAGTAGGCTAAGTTATTTTTTATTAAGTTGTCGAAAAGCCAAAAATGAAGTAGCCCTAGAGTATAAGGTTGAAGAGATCTTGGTCTTACTAAAAATGTAGGCCTACCTATTTTTTTTATACACTACTTGCAATTTTGCTAAAACATGACTGTGTAGAAGAAGCTCCAGTATCCTTTTGGACGCCAAATATAATTTGTTTAGCCTAGTTGTTACATATGAAAATATTGTTTTTTTAGGAAGCATAAAATCAGTGTAAGGTTAAAAAGCAATCAACTCCTGCTATATATTTATACCGGTACTTAAAAAAGGTTGACAAGACTCTAAAATAATTTAAACTTTGATATGTTAAATATTAAGATTGGTACAGTTTCCCTTGTAATTCAAGTCAATATTTAAGTAGCCAAATGGTAAGAACCAAGATCTGTGTAGACAAAAGGCGAGAAAATGGAAGACGGTCAGATTTTAGATGGTTTGTAAGTTTAGGCTTTCTTACGTACATTTATGACATGCAATTGTAGGCGATTCCCAATAAAAGGATTAAAAACTTGATAAGTAGACTTGCAAAAGCAGTTGCCCTGACTAATTTAAATATTTAAGCTCTCTTAATTAATTGTTATCTTCCTTTGGTTTTTGTGCTTCATGAAATAGAATCACCTCAATCAATACTCAAGCTTCAATACTGTAGCTTAAATATGAAGGCCTATAGTGAACAAGTTAGTTAGAAACAAACAGAGTATAGAAAAGATTGCAATTGATTCAAATCTAATGGATATCCTAGGCAAGTCATATCTTAGTTGTACAGTCCTCAATGGTGTGTACGAATTTTTATTAATCAAGGCGGGTCCATAGCAGTATTCGCAGAGCAACGAGCAGCTGTTCGCCTAATTACCGGGTGTTCGTCTATTTTTTATTAGCTGAACATCAGTGCGTACAAAAAGGGGGAAAGGGAAACCTTTGCTCGATAAACTTTTTCGGCTATCAGCTTGGTGTCTAGTTACAAATTTCCAGCAGTTTTTTATCCAATTGAAGGCTATGTATAAATGAATTTTATTTTCTCTAAACTGTATGTTTTTGTTGGTAGTGGCATAAAGAATCATAGACTCTCCCAGTAAGATGTAATCAATAGATCGTTTGAATTAGAGCGGGATGCACAATTAAACGTGCACACAATCCCCACCATCGTCGCTTGGTTTTGTACTGTCATCTCAACAATCAATGGCCATCATATTTATCAACTAAATAGCCCATTGTGGTGTGACTCAGTATTGCTGGGAGCCTTATTCTCATCTCTCCCTAAATGCCTTTCTAATTGTCGGGATCTACTTACATGAAACCCCGTGCTCTGCAAGGCTCATTTGGGCGAGCGCCAACTATCATAGACACCAACTTGCGGGCACTGTAGTGTAAAATATTATACACAACATAAAATGCTTAGCTAGCCGTCTGCTTCTGATTCACTGATCTCAATTAAGAGCCGGAGATGTTTACGACTTTATTGCTATGCCGGATGACAATATCCCTTCGAAAAAAAGGCTCAGTTATTTTTTATTACACAAAAACCTAAAATAGGCATCTTTACAACTTTATTAAGAATCAATAGCTGTAATAAAAAAAAATCAATTGTGAATTTAAATTACCAATAAATTGAAAACTTTACAGAAGCAGTAACAAATTGGATTGAGCCTTCTCATTTCCTTTTGGTGTTGTTGATTTATACAGAAACATTAATACAAATTTCTTTGAATACATTTAACTTAATTCTGCAATTAGTTCCCCTAATTCTGGCGGGCCCAGATGCGCAATATGTAGATCCGGTCCTGATCGCATCCACCATCTTTTTCTTTATATAAATGTTCTTTAGCTAAAATAATAAGAGCAGAATGCGCTGTTCCAGCGTTGACGTCCATTTTGACAGATATTTGTTACACATAACGAACACACTGCTTTAAAAGTGACCAAAGTGTGAGAGCACCCCTGCTATGGAATAGGCATATATCAACACAAATTGCTTGTCACTTGTAAAAAAATACAACAACAAAAAACAGACATATGAATGCCACATGTGTGGACCCGCCTTAAGCAATAGCCTATGAAATAATTTGCCTTGTATTAATTTCATAATCATATTTGTAGCTAAGCTAATAAGAAAGAGTGAATCCACGATATTATTGTATGGGCCCAAAATGCTTTAAATAAATTAGAAAAAACAAGTGTTTGATACCAATTTTAAGCCTTGATTCCCAATTGCAATTTAAAATAGGCCTACAGTGAGATGGATATTAGTATATTTTACCCTGGGGGGCGAGCTGGTTGAGTGGTAGAGCTTGAGGCTTCAGAGCCCGAGGTCCCGGGTTCAAATCCTGCCAATCAGTAATGGATTTTATCTACTAAATGATAATACCGCGGCCCTCTCGGACTATCCTGAAGTAATGTGTTAAAACAGTTCCAGGCTAGAACCTAGCGTGTCCTAGTATGTGAAGGGGGGACATGAAAAAAAGTATATTTCACTCTACCATAGAGAGTGCACAATCCTTATACAGTAGGCCCTACACTCCCGCAGACTCGGCGTAGTGTGTACTGAAAGGGTGCCAAGCTTAAAAAATGCCGGGATATCAGGAACTAGGGTTAACAATAAGAACAATTAAATTTTTAACCCTTTTAACTGGCCTTTTTTTTATATTTATATCATAAGTCATTATTAAGTCATCAGATATAGTATAACAAATCCTTGGTACGAGTTGCAAATGATTTGACTTGAGCTGGCTTGAGTCCATGTTTACTCGGACTAAAAAAAATCACTAATTTTCTGAGCCAGCTGATAAATAAATAAAAATTCCTTTATTCACAAACGTCTTTCAGTACAAGAACTGTTTATAAAGTAACTCATGTCAATATAACTAACTAAGTGTGTTGTCATGTATACTGGACCACATATTCTAATGCAGGAGTTAGGAAATCTGATATTGAAGTCACCCTTGATGGCATGGGATTGTCTGTCTGTGACACTGTCAACACGCTTAGTGTTGTACTTGACAAAGGCCTCTCTTTTTCTGACCACTTCACATCTGCAGTCCAACATGCAGAGAAGATTGAGAAGATTGAGAGAAGATTGAGGGAAGATTGAGAGGTCTTAGCAGATTTAAAACTCAGGGCAAGATAGAATTCATACCCTCGGATCTGTGGAGCTGTCGCCTAGTCCGAAACATAACACATAAGGGCCGCCCACATATTTAAGTAACACGTTATCGTAATTTTATACCGTAGTAATTTTAAACCCCTCCCCTGTGATGCTGCATAACGCAAGACTAAACCCCCCCCCCCTCCACTCTGTAATGTAACGCTGTCAAATACTTTCGTAAACAAGTTTGGGGGGTATGAAATTTAGGTAAGATTTCTTCCAAAGCCAAAACATTATTTAAAATTGGTTTTGAAGTAGGCCTACCGTAAAGTTATCAATAAAACAAACATTTAACATTTTAATAACAATATCTTTACAGTTTATTTTAACACAACATCTAAACACTTTTTCTCATGTGAGTCATGTGTTTAAGTTTGTTTTTACTTTATAGCACTTCTGAACAACACTTACATTACAGTAATTTAACGATACACAATTCAGATTTATCTTATTTGCCATTGAATTAAACCCAGAGTGGCAGGATCCGTTTTCATGTCCTCTATGACTGGAAGGCCAGAGCTAGGAGTTGGTAAGATGAAGATGTTATTTGAACTAGAATATCAGTTCCAGACGTACTTAGTCAAGGCGCACACCAGATTCTTAACATGTTACTGTTACGATCTTAGAGAAAACCCGCTCCCCCCTTCTTGTAACGCTAAGCCAAACCTCTCCCCCTCCTTGACCGTTACGTAATATGTGGACGGCCCCTTAGTTGCTCGGCCATCCATGGGCCTTATTTATCTTCACTAACAACTCGGATAGACCCCTGGTAGTGGCAAGCACAGAGCGCTTAAGTAAGCACATCCCAGGCATTTCTTGTCTAGTCAATTTTTTTTATGTTTTTGCAAGTCTGGACAAACAATACAATGAAACAAAAAATGTGAATTTTAAGTTTGACTTGTACATGAGAAACGTGGATTTATTTTTTTATTATATAAATGACCAAGGGGATTGGGGAAATTATAGAAGTAAATGCCTCTCTTGTGATCTCTAGTCAATGTAAATATGAATTTATTGAAACGAGTTAGGTAAATGTTTTGTCTATGTTTAATTTGACTTGTTTTTATACAAGTTTAGTGTTCTTAAAGTGTTATGTGTATTAAAATTCTTCACAAGACTGCTTAGATTTAAACCTTTTAGTCCCATGTTGATGTAAGACATTATTTTCTTATGATGGAAGTTTTTCTAAAAATGTGTTGACGAGGGCTGTTTTATTTCTGTTTTAGCTAGTAAATAGATTAAATGCTTCTTACCTCAGTTTTTGTAGAGTTTCTTTTGTTTTCCCACATAATGTTTCACTGAAGCACCAGCATGTATATTTTGTTTTTCTTAAAATTGACTTTTAGGTATTTTATTTCTACTTTCACACTTTTATTATTTTTTCAGTGTTTACAGCTGGAGTTAAGAACAGATATGTCAAACCCTTTTAAAATTTTAACAAAACCCAAACTAATGTAGCTCACTTATCTCTGGTTTCAATCATGTATAGTAAAAAAATACATTAAGGTCAAATGGGGCAACATCAAGAAATATGCAATTCAAAGCTACATTAAGTTGGGGGGGGGGGGGGGGGGTGGGGTGCACTTACCCCAGATCAAGGGGAAAGTGTACACCCCAAACATAATTTTTTTTAAATTCTCAAAAACACAAAATTAATATTTTTAACAAAATAAAAAAAACACAGATACAAAACATTCTAAAGAATAAGCTCAGTAAATTTTATTTTTATAGCACCTACGGGTATTTTTTAATCTGTGGTCAAAGTTATACTATCAAATGTCCACTTACTTCACTTGACCTTAGATAATATGTCGTGTGATTGGTTTGAAAAAAGAAATAGGAAAAGAGGTAGAATAGTACATTAAGTTAGTTAGAGTGAGTAAGAAAATGTTAATACCAATTATAATATGTTATTTATAATGACGATATTTGACGAATTTTATGTCAAGGGTTTATGCAATCTTTTAGGGACTGTAAAATAAACATTTTTACAAAGAGAAGAACAAATAAAGTTGTTGTTAACATGATAAATACAGTATGCCTATAATTTTAGGGGATGATGCGTGTAAATCATTCAAAAAAATGTATCAACTGTGTGTAACACATAACACATTCCAAAAAACTGCTTATACAACTTTGTTGTAACTTTTGAAGATATTCAGGCAAAAACTTTAAAGTCTCTTCTTACTGCTTGGTATTTTGTTGATTGTGTCTTAGTAGATAATTTAAGTAACATTATTTTTAGATTTGAAAGCGTTGCTGTGTTCAAATTTCTCTTTATTTTAAAACAAAGCAATGATCTATCCTATACCAAAGATAATTTGTAATTAATTGTAAATAGTCTTATACGGTACTGTAAATAAAATAATTTATGAAATTAAATTTGTGTTTGTTATGAAAACTCCTGATATAAGATGTTGTGTCACCGCAGTCTGCAGTTAGAATGTTATGTACAAGTATATTACTTATTGGAATTAGATTCAAAGGTCGACAGTCTCTCTTAACCACCCAGTTGGACTTTTACCTTTGTGTTTACTGTATCTAGATAAGCAAAGGGTGGGGGCTTTTACAGTACCTACATGTCTAATTTTATTAATTAAATAAGTTTTGCATTTTATCTTTTTACAATAATAATGACGATGTCAATCTCAAAAAGAGAATCAAATATAGACTGTCAGCTGTCCTGCAGTTACCATAGGTTCTGGCGCACACCGCTGGGAGCGCCATGTAGTTACGGCACAGACAAAGTATTATATTGTCTGTGGTTACGGCGTACGCTACACGGCCATCCCAGCGGTGTGTGCCAGAACCTATGGTAACCAAAGCACGGCTGACAGTATATATTTAATTCTTTTTGTCTATGACGTTATGTTGTGCGGAGAGTAAATTAATATAATTGTACAATTTGAAAAAATATTGCTGGGATATTGAGCAATATTGACAAAACTATAAAATACTAGTCTATGTACTTTGATATACAGGGTGTTTGTGAACTCTCTCGAAAAAATTCACAGGATTATTCCTTGGGTTAATACATGAATATTTTACACTATAAACATGGGTCGCCGGAGCCTCGTTTTCCGTCTGTCTGTCTGTATGTGTTTTTTATAAATAACCTTATAACTCGAGTTTGAATAATTGAGGTACAAACTTTAAATTTGACACACTTGTGTATTTTAACGTGGTACACAAACATGCAAAATGTCATTTAGTTGACTATAGCCGTTTCAAAATGGCGGCCATCTAAAATCTTTGACCTCAAATTACATGAAAACCACTAGAGTTACAAAAAAAAACACAGGAATAACAATATGTAGGTAATTTTATGCCAAATCAGATGACACATAGATCTTAAAAATCGGACAACAAACAGCTGAGTTATTAATTTTTTAAATAACTAATAATTTCTTTACC